GGAATAACCAGCACTGACTCGTGAAGAGCAGTACTTGGGAGACCAGCTGAGGATGCGTGGTGCCTTGGGGGGGCGCGGGGGGGCGTGGACAGAGATGCCCACCTGGAACACCTGAGCATGAATGCGCGATCCTTCCTTCATTGCAGTGACGGCATGAAGGGCCTGATGTTCTAGGTGGCTTGCGCCTTGAAAAGATTATGAACAACCTATGCTTGAGAAAATACTTTTAAAAAATATATATAAAATGACACCCCCCCCCAAAAAAAATGGTTTATGCAATGATTTGAACATAAGTACACCAGATACTCTAAGCCGGGGAGGGAGGGGGGGAAATAACCACTGCAGAAAATTACTCTATTTACATAAGAATGATTTTCTTTTTAAAGACATTATGTTATGGTTCTCTTTACAAATAAGATGTCGTTCAAGTCCTTTTTAAAAAAACTCTTTACATATTTAAGTTTCAGGGTGCTGGCTGTTCCACGCGCAGCAAGGAATCTTCCGAAGGGGGCTGGGCTCCAGAGCAGATTCCCTGTGGCGGCTTCATCTGGCACATCCCCCCCTCCGCTCTCTTTCAACGTCTTTGGGCACGTATCGTGGTGTTGTGGTTGTTTTTTTTAAAAAAACCCCAATCATCAGCCTTTCGACCCCGCAAAGGACTCCAGCTTCTTCCAAAGGTCCCCTTCCCCTCCCCCGGTCAGTCATCGCTGTCTGAAAGAGTCTCGTATTGTGCTGACAAGAGGGGCGCTGGCTCTCGTTCCCATATTCGGTTGGGTTGGTGAGAGGCGGCCTGGCTGACGGACTGCGGGGCGCAGGCCATCGAGGTCGGAGGCGTGCTGCTCAGCATGCGCATGGTCAGAGGGTTGTACGGGAACTGGGTAGATCCTACAAGGTAAGAGAAAGGTTGCATCTCTGGTTAGAGTCCCCCAGTCCACGAGGGACACCCATCTTAGAATCCCCCAGTTGGGGAGGGACACCCATCTTAGAATCCCCCTGATGGCGAGGGACACTCAGCTTAGAATCCCCCAGACGGCGAGGGACACTCAGCTGGCAGTGGGGCCAACTCCACAGATGATCACTCCCTCCCCTTTGAGACCTGCTGGGAACCTGGGGGGGGGGGAGGGGCTTGAAACACACACAGGGAAACCATATTCACTCTGCTGTCACCAGTTTTTAGTTTTGTAGGATGGCTCTGCCACCAAGAGGTTCCCTTCCCCTGCCTCAAATTTCTTAAAAACAATAAAGGTTTTAGAAGATTCATTTAAACAAGAAACCCTCTCCCCTTCTCACAACTTGGGCCTCCCACCCCCAAAGCAGAAACAATGGGGGAGAGGAGGAGGGAGGGAGGGAGGGAGGGAGGGAGGAAGGAAGGAAGGAAGGTAGGAAGGGAGGGAGGAAGGAAAGAAGGAAAGACCATCCATTTTCCTTCATATGTCTGCAATGAAAAAGGGAGGGAGGGAGGGAGGGAGGGAGGGAAAAGGTTTCTCAGGAAACCCTAGAAAAGAGCAGTTATGTTTAAAATGGGGAAATAATGCAGCCTACAGTCCCAGATGATTGGCCTTACCCAACTCAGCCCTCGATTACCAACAGGTTTCCCAAAAACCCAGCGTGCTGGAGTGGTTAGAGTGCCGGACTGGAGGAAGCCAGGTTCAAATCTCACTCAGCCATGCTGCCCTCGGGGTGACATCGGGCCAACGACTCACACTCAGCCTAACTACCTCATAGGGGTGTTGTGAGGAGGAAGGAGGGGAAGGAGGAGAAAACCATGTGTCCCAGCTCGGGGGCAGGGGCGGAGAGCACAAATGAGCAAATGCACTTTCCCGTGGATTGTGCCCCATGACACTTAGAAGAGACAGGAGGGGATCTTGTGTTGGCGCTGAGCGCTGAACCGTCCTTTGGGACCCTGGTGGCTCACCCGTGATGACTGACCACAGGCATCTTTGCTGGAGCAGCATTTGCTAGCTGTGTGACGCCTGACATGGGGGGGGGGGGCCCTCTGCAACTTGGGCCTCCAATTCCATCTTGCTCTCCCACCTGCTGGCGCTGCTCACCTGTCGAGGAGGGCCTGTCTTCCCACGACCACACGGGTGTCTGCCTGTGATAGTCTCCCTCTGAGTGCACCGACGAGACAGACGAAGGCCTCTCTGCTCCCAAATAGCCCTGCCCGGGAATGGGCGACTTAGACTTCCGGCTCCCGGATTTGCCCATCAGCTTCTGCTTGCTGACTCCTCCTCCTGGAAAGGGTAACCGAGTCAGAGTCGGGCTGTTCGGCCTGCAGATGCCTCTGCTGCAGAGCCCCATGCACCGTCAAGGGCATGCTCAGGATCCTGCATGCACATGTCGCATGGCTCATTTCAGTGGAGGGATCAAATCCCTTTGGACGCATCTACGCTTACTAGACTTCCCGAGCAGACAAAGTGTTGGTGGCTTAAGCTTCTTTCAGCGGCCGGCTCAGACGCTCCTGACCACCGCCAGGCCTTCTTTGGGGACGATAGGGAAATCTGCATATTTATTTATTTCATTAGATTTTTTTTTAGTCGCTGCTCACTCAGAGGGTCTCGCAGCGACACATAACATTAGAAGACACCCATCTCAAGAGATGGCAGGGGGAAGCATGCTTATGAACACACGTGAAGTTGCCCTGTATTGAATCTGGCCACCGGTCCGGACTATTCCTACCGGCAGTGGCTCAGACAGAGGCTTTTCATATCCCCTGCTGCCTGGTCCTTTTAAACTGGAGGTGCTGGGGGTTGCAACCAGGGACCTTCTGCATGCCAAGCAGAGCCACAGCCCTCCCAGGGGGCTACACGGAATTCAGAGTCAGAAAGGCTAAGGAGATGGAGAACGGATGCAAACTCTGCGGTGGAAATGGAGGAGACTTATTTTTAATGAGGCTGGAGAGCAGCTGTCATAGGGGTCGAGGTGTGCGCTCTTCAAAGAAGGAATAATAATAATAATCTTTAATAATAATCTTTCAATTTATTAATTGCTCAATCCTGCAGAGCTTGAGCACTTGGGAACGCTCCAATGGCTATCTCGGAGCTTTTTAAAGCCACCTCTGTGAGGCGGAGGGCGTTGCACATGGCAAGTCCCAGTTTCAAATGCTCGGCATCTGCTCAAGGTGCTGGGTGTGATTTTTCTGTGCTGGAGAGAGACCCCAGATGGAGCGCCCAGTGAGACAGACCAAAGATTTCAGGCTCAGCAAAAGGCAGCTCTGGAATTTCATCACCCACTGCTAATGGGGACAGAGTGGGGAGACTGTCTGGGGGCGGGCTTGCCTAAAGTTACCCAGAAAGTTCATGGCAGAGGTGGAATTTGAACTATGGACTTCCAGGCGCCCTCTCCACACTCCACCAGCTCTAGAACCACAGGAAGAAATGCAGTTTGTGCAAGTCAAATCCAAGAGTGTTTGGAATGACGAGGTATCCCCACCACCACCACCACTTGTGCAATACCATAGCCCAACTCACAACACTGTACCAACAGCCCCTGCAGAAGGTGAAGATGAGACAGCATTTGCATCTTAGATGGAAATGTTCTTTTCCCGGGCCCTCAGAGTCAGCCTTAAGAAAAAGACCCTGTTCTGCAGCCTTCCAGAGGATTTCCGTGGAAGGTGTCGATTGACCAAAACTAAAAACCTCTTCCAATCCCTGGAGCAGTTCTGCCCATTTATTCAGAGCATCTGCTAGATTTTTTAAAACACACAAACACACACACACACACAACAAGAACCAAATGTGCTACACAAGACTTATTAAAAAATGCCAGGCAGCCAGGATAAAGTATGTGGGGGAGCGTGGCAAGTCTGAATGAATGAATCATTGAATTCTATCATAAATCAATCACTGACTCAGGGCGCTTTTCCTCAGCCTTACCAAGAGGCAGCTTATCCATTCACTACTTTAAAAAGCCATGCCTACAGAAAAATGACGTGGCCATTACTGCCCAATCTCTAATGTTCTCCTTCTAGGCCAAGAGACTGAGAGGGCAATAGCAGACCAACACTAGGTCTCCTTGGATAACTCATCTGTTTGGGACCCCTTTCGGGCTGGCTTCAGTCTGGGCTGCAGAACAGAGACGGCCTTGCTGGCTTTAGTTGACAACAGTCTGTATACGGACAAGGAGCCATGCCTCTTTTTTGCTCCCACCCCCGGTTTATCTGCAGCCTTTGATACAGTGCATCCTGCCATTGTGTTGAGACGTTTGGAGGCAGAAGTTGTATCAGGGCATGTGCTTTGGACTGGTTCAGTACTACCAGAGGAATCACAGTGTAGATAACACAACAGCAAAAGCAACCTCTTTGAAACACAACACTATTACAATCACCGACGAGACCGATTGTGAGCGCATGCTGACATAGAGAATTATACATTGTAGAAAATACTTCACCTTGACTGTTGGGTGAGGGGGTTTTTTTGCTAACAAATGATATCTAAGTATTGCAATTCTAGTAATTAATGGTGCCACTAGATAGCCTGTGATTTCTTGTAGATGCTCTGCCAGTTTCCTTTACTGAAGAAGGGACCAGATTGCTGCAACTTGAGAGTTAACCGGAAGCCGTGTTCCCGCTAAGCTGAGTTAGTGTGAGCTAGCACAGTTTTTTAGCCTCCGGCTCACATATTTTTGTCTTCGCTCAGGAAGGAGGGCTCCAGAGCAGACTTTTATGCCATAGTCAAATTGCTCACTCACAACTTTAATGCCAGTAGCTCAGAAAGTAGAACTTTTGCTCACAGGAGTCCACAGCTTAGAGGGAGCACTGACTGGAAGCCCGTTTTGTTTGCGCTTTGAACACTGTGCAGATTTTGATTAATTCTACTTATAAATTTCCCTTGGACTTTTCCCTTGTGAGGGTTTTCCTGTATGGCGCTTTGATACTGGATGGGAATAACTATATTTTTGTATTGGATGTCTTATATGGAATACTGGAAATAATCAATGCACTATAATAACACTCTGAGTATATATAATCTCTTTTTACTTTTGCCTTTATGGTAATAGTGCTGTGTTTCACAGTGGTTGTTATTTCTGCTGTTGGGACTGGTTCAAATTAAAGTGCTGCCATTGGAAACCAGCTGTCATTGGTGTGGGGTTCCACAGTATGCAGTCCTCTTCCCCGCACTGATTCAATCTTTATAAAAAAGCCCTCAGGAGAAATCAGCAGTCGCTTTGGATATGGATGCCATCAGTATGCTCTCAGGTATGTATCGCTCTATCCAAGTCTTCTGGCAACGAGGCCGAAGTCTCAAGCCACTGTTGGACTGCGGTGGTTAAACTGAAACTGAAACGGAATCCAAACGAGACCAAAGTAATGCTAGTTAGGAAAGCTGAGTCCTTGAGGGACACTGTACTTCCCCACTTTTAGTGGGGTTCGACTGACCCTTGAGGACTCGGTCAAGAGCCTTGGGGCTATACTGGACCTAGCATGACTGCGAGAGAAGCAAGTTAATGCAGCTACATTAACACTTTCTTCCAGCTTAGTTTAGCCCAGAAGATGGCCCCCTACCTGGACTTGGCTGAACTGGCCTTCTGGATCCATGCCACAGAAATACTGAGACTAGACTACTGTAATGCACTCTACATGGGTCTTGCCCTTGAATTCAACTCAGAGACTCCAGTTAGTAGAGAACGCTGCAGCTTGGTTATTACCAGGAATTATCTGGAGCATGATTATTACACACATTCTGCAGTCACTCCACTGGCAACCTATCAGTTATCGGGTTCAAGTCGAGATGCTGGCTATAACCTTCGTGGCCTTGTACCCATAGGTCTCTGGGACTGCCATGATCTGCTATGAGAGCTTTGCTCATCTGACCAGGGTCTTCTGCGGGTGCCACCCTTCAAATGGGCAAATCAAAAACCACCTGTACATGTGGCATTCTCTGCCGTGACACCCACAGTGCGGAACGGCCTGCCGGAGGAGGACAGGGAGGTTCTCATGCTCCTGTCATTCCACAAACTATGTAAAAGTGAATTATTCAGGAGGGCATTTCTAGAAATGTAATAGGACTGTATTTTAATGGAATGGTTCAGGGGAGCATTCTAATAAAGGCAACGGAAAGGCTACGGTGTACATCAGGGGGCGCCAAGGTGCCCACCAACACTTTTTCATACCTGCCAAGTATTTTTAGGAAGTTGGTGGGGCCAGGTGGGGCTTTTGCCCAGTAGGGTTTCTGATAGGCTGTGCAGATTTTTTTTTAAACATTGGTGTAAGACTTGGGCATCTGGCATTGGGGTGGGCTGGCTCGCTGAAACGGTTATATTGTCTACACCTGATTTATTCTGCTTGCATTCTGTATCCTTATCACTGCCTTCACCTGCCATTGCATTCCTGGGGGGGGGGGAGTGCATGTAGTGAATTAGGGAGGCTTGCTTGTTAATTTTCCTAAGGGGCCCCAAGACATCTTTCACACGAGAAATGTCCTTGGAGTAAGACTGTGTCTGGCTAGATAGTGGCTATATATCTTTCAGAGTCACTGTAGTAATGGTGATAATGATATGCATGGAATTTTGGGGTTTTACCTATATCTTGACTCTCCCACTTTGGCAACTCAGTCCTAACAAAGAGCCTGTACCCACAGCATCTCCTATCTCTAAATAAAGCATTCACTGCCAAAGTATGTGTGGAGAGTGATTTGACTGGGAACCTGACAGTTCGTTTGGCAGCAGCTGCCACCACAGCACAAGGATCTGCACTGTGTGACTGAAATTAAGATGTGGCAGCCATTTTGTGGCTGGCTCCGCCTACTGTGGCAGCCATTTTGTCGCTGTGCCCACAATTCCATGTCAAAGGTCCAAGTGTGCCTTGCAGGCTCACAAAGGTTGGGGACCCCTGGCATGCAGCGTATTATTTTCGCCTACAGGTGTTACCCTCTTCCTCTGCATCGTCTTCTACTTAAGTAATACCATTATCTGCACTGTTTTAACATATTACATCTAATACTTTTTTGGCTTGTTTCAAAGGACTGACACCATACACCGCATTGAGTCTCAGTGTCGCGGGTGGATTATAAAGAAATCAAATAAAATCTGTCAAATGGCAAAGCCAGAATATGCTGTGATTGAAATGTAACCACTGTGCCCTTCTTCACCCTAGTCAAAACGGACCCAAATCCTCCACAGAGCCATGCAGTGTCTTCTTACCCGGATTGGGGGATGGGTTAATATCTTCCCTCCGGGATTCGCTGTTTGTGGACAGAGCTGAACTAGAGCCGCTGGACGCCAACCCCATGGGCTGACCCAGGACGATGTTGTGGTCCTCCCCTTTGTCGTCGAAGTTGCCCATCAGCGCCTTGCGGATAATGTCCTCCAGGCCCAGATTGCTGGCGGGATCTGCAAAGGAATGACCTCGAGCACTGACTGGACCTGGGAGGAGGAAGGAGACATGTGGGGAGCAGGAGACAACATACACCCCGGGGCCGGGGAGGAGGTGGTTTGAAACAGGGACCAAGACAGAAAAGAAAGAGGCAGGGGAGGGAGAGAGGGAGGGAGAGAGTGCCAAAAGGTGAGTACAGTTGATGCAAAGCTCCAAGCTTTAGCCGAACAAACTCTGAAATGGCTGAAAAGTCAGTCTGACATGCGAGCAACTGAACGTTAGAGCAAGGCCGACTGCACCGTGGGGGGTCAGGCTTGTCACATGCATGGAGAAGGGATACTGGGGTTTTTTTGTGTGTGTATTAAAAAATAAATGAGGGAGCAAAGAAAGTTAACACAAGCATATACGCAGGTGGGACAGACTCGGCTCCTGAAATACCCACGGTTCAAAGCCACCAAACTTCAGGGAGCTCCCTTGGCACGGCTGTTGTCACAGATAATTGTTTGGTCTTGAGGGCTGAGAAACTCTTGCACATCTGCCGGGAAGGCTTGGCTTGCTGCAGAGGATTCTGGGATGTGTTCCAGGGCACAGCCAATGGCTCAAGCAGGGCCTCGGCCAGTCTTCCAGGGCCTCAACGTATCTCTGAGTGAACCAAGAATTGTGCCCCGAATCATATCCTAGATTCTGCTGCAGTGTTGGAAGTAAGCCCGGGAGCAACGCAGCCTCTGAACGCAGAGTCTGAAAACTGCAGGAATAAGGCCAAGCTTTCCAGGTACTGGAGGCTGGTTCTCCTTCCATTCAAGTAGAAATCATGACTTGCATGTCAAATTACTCTGTTCTCCCCACCACCTGGGAGGTTTCGCATCTCCAAAGGCAGGTAGAGAAGACCAGTGGAAATTCTGTTTTGCGCGCACCAGAGCGCATGAGGGTGTTGGCCCCCATCCCGTCACTCTCACGTCTGAAACCGTATTCGGCCTCTGAGAAACTGTGGATCCAGAATGCGCTGCCAGTTTCATCAAGCACTACGCCCTGAACGTCCAAAAGAACATCAATACTGGCATGGGACGTCAAATTCTGTCTTTGGCTAAGCAGTGATGGTCCTGCCAGCACCCTCCTCCAGGTAGGCTACTGCTCGCTAATCTCCCATTGGTGTGAAGCACAGAGACCACGAAGAAGATAAAACAGGTTGCTTACCAGTAACTGGTGATCTTCGAGTGGTCATCTGTGCATTCACACCACCCGCCCTCCTTCCCCGCTGCTGTCAGCTTCTACATTTTCGATTAGGAGTTGATATGCGGCGGTTTGTAGGAACTGGTGGGATGCCTGCGCCCACCCCTCTGGGCATGCGCAGTGGGGCTCCTGCGCTTGCCTGAGGGAATGGGCGCGAAAATCCGTTGAAAAGAGCTTGCTACACCACCGATCGATCCAGCGCAGGTGCACTAGATCCCATTGGTGTGAATGCATAGATGACCCCTCGAAGATCGCCAGTTACTGGTAAGCAACCTGTTTTTCCGCGTGAGGTTAGCAGGCAGGATGGAATGGCGGTGCTTAGTGTGACCGGGGCCCTCTCCCAACCACACAGAAGGTCAGTGCCAAAATTAGAACATGCATGCATCCAGCTCAAAAAGGTCCAGCTGTCGGCAATTCTCCAAGGCCTCTGTCAGACAAAGGTCCCTCCCAGCCCCGCCTCCTGGGGCTCTTTTTCACTGGAGCGGGCAGGCCTGAATCTGGGGCCCCCCTTCTGCACGGAAACCAGGGGCTCTCATCCCCGAGCCACAGCCCCCTTCTCCTCACAAAAGATTCCGGGTCAGGAACATACAAAACTGTCTTATACAGCAGGGGAAGACAGACTCTGGGTTCTTCTAGGACTGGGCCGTCTCCTTGGACTGGCAGCAGCTCTCCAGGCGAGGCCTTCGCCTTCCATGGGCAATTCCAGAGATTGACATGCCAGGTGCTCTCCCATTGAGCCACGGCCCATCCCAAAACCCAGCAAACAGTGCCTGTCAATCAGGAGCATATGAGTGTGTTGGGGGTGAGGGATATGTGGGGTGGAATTTCTGAAACTCATGCTACGATTAGAGCTGTTCCTCAGTGGAACAGGTTTCTTGGGGAGGTGGTGGGCTCTCCTTCTTTGGAGGTTTTCAAACAGGGGCTAGATGGCTGACAGCAATGCTGATTCTGTGAACTTAGGCAGGTCATGGGAGGGAGGGAGGGCAGGAAGGGTTGCATCAGTGCTTAGTTCTCGTGGCCCTTTCTCACACGCCCAGAGAAATGCCGATCGCCACTTCGGGGTCAAGGAGCAATTTTCTCTAGGCCAATTTGGTTTTTGCCATCTTCTGGGCATGGAACAGCAGTCACTGGAGGTGTCAGGGGGAGGGTATTTGTGAATTTCCTCCATTTCCTGTGCAGGAGGTTGGACTAGATGACCCTGGAGGTCCCTTCCAACTCTGTGATTCTACTGTTGCCAGTGGAAACAGACAGGATTCAAGCCAATGTGTTTACTGCAGGCCCCAGAGGGTGAGTCTGTCTCCCACCCTTCTCAACACTGCTGAAACAGTTTTTGGTTTGTAACACAGAGATGCCTAAGTTTGGCGTTCTGCAGGGGCAAAGGACGGCTCTTCTCCTTCACACCCACAGCCCTCGTTGACATGCCTAGCTATGAGACAATATCAGGCTTCAGTGACATCAGTTCAGCTTCTTGTCCTCACCGCTTGCCAAGGAAAATGTGTCCTTTGAGCGCTTCCTTTCCCCTCACTATGGCGTTAACGTTTCTCTGGATTCTGTGCACCTTTCTGAATTTGAAAACGTCTGCTTGGGAGAGCAGGCCGCTGCCCGAGCAGGGCTCTGGGAACAAGAACAAGCCTCGCCTGGGGGGGCGGGGCGGTTTCACAGGAACACTTACCTGAGGTAGTGACCGCTGGCAGGTTAAAGATTTCCGTCCCCGGCTGAGCAGCAGCTGTTCAGAAAGGGGGGGGGGGGGAGAGAGAGAGAAAGAGGCACACAAACTTCAGTTAGCTAGCCAGCCTACAGCAGCCTGAATTAGTCTTTCTTGTCAGCTTTTGCTTTGGGGGGCTACGGAAGGAGAAAGGATTCAAACTACATTGAAAATGGGCAGGGGGGGGGGGAGACTGACTCTGTATGAATGTGATTCACCTGGAGTTGAGTAATTGGGTAACTCTGAAGTTCCTGAGTCCTCATGGCCTGACTGATGACTGTACTGCAAGAGGCCAGAGGCCTGCATCACCTACCCTTTGTTTCAGACACTGCCCTGGTCAGTGGCCTGCTTCCAGGGGTCTTAGCACTGACATACCAGCCCCTCGCCAAACAGGTCCTCGCCAGTGTTCCCTCTGAGCTGAGTTAGTGTGAGCTAGCTCACAGGTGTTTTAGCCTCTGGCTCACACATTTTTGTCTCAGCTCAGGAAGGACGGCTCCAGAGCAAATGACTTGATGCAGCGGCCAAACAGCTCGCTCACAACTTTAACGCCGGTAGCTTACAGAGTAGATTTTTTTGCTCACAGGACTCCACAGCTTAGAGGGAGCACTGGTCCTAACCTCCTGCCACACCCCTCATGGATTGTGTGGACAAGCCTCTTTGTGTGACACCCCCTCGCCACGGCTGCAGCCGCGATCTCCCCCCCCCCCCCGCGGGGGTTTGTCTGAATATCTGGCGGCCGGGGTACCCTTTCTTTCGGAACTGAAGTGGGAGGTACATTTCGCATACATATAGAAAAATTATTTTTTACGATGTTCATCAGTAATCATTCACTCTTCTGCTGCTCTTCTGAATGAGTCACGGACCCAACTGCCGGCTACCTTTCAGTGATTTGTGCAGAAACATGGATGGCCTGACCTGGAGGACAGATCATTTGGTCGTGTCTCGGGTTTGGGGAGTGTGACTGCATAATCTAATCACGCAAAATTATCTGCAGCTCCCCGACCCCGGTAGAGGCCGACTGGCAGCAAAGTCAAGGCCAGAGCACTAAGATCAGGCAGAGATACAGCAGACAGCCTCCTCTGCATATGCATATACGGAGCTCACAGGATCTTGGGAATACACCCTTAGACTCTCAGTATTATGGTCCCCCCCCCCACACTTTAAAAACCACTTAATTTAAATCAGTTTTAAATACACAGCCCCTTTATCCAGTGACCCCCCCCCCCCCGATTCTCTTCTTCCTTTCTGGCAGGTACATGTTTGATATTGCCAAGGGCAGATTAACCATTAAGCAGACTAAGCACGTGTGCTTAGGGCACCAGGGCCAAAGGGGGCACCACAGAGTTGGGGAAAGGGTGAAAAGCTTAGTTTGTACAGTATATTGTGTTATCATATGAATACATTTTTGTATTGCTGCAACTTGCATTGTCTATCTGGCCAGACAGGTCAACAACTAAAATGGACTGGGTCAGTGTGGAAAGGAGGGGGGCACCGAGATTGGTCAGTGCTTAGGGCACCGGTGAGCCTTAATCCGCCCCTAGATATTGCCCAATCCCAACAACGGTTTTTAACCTGCACAGAGATGCCGCAGGGGTTTGTACAGTCTTGCCCCTCCCCCTACTTTAACCATCACAGGATTTCCCCCAAAGTTACAATGCTCTGGCCAGTACGGGCTCAAAGCCCGGGGTGCGAAGTGTGCAGTGGCCAGAAAAATGACCCCATTTGCTAACTCTCCTACACATTCCCTTCTCTGACTGACTTCGGTAAAGTCACGGTTAGCACTAATGAGAATTTTACATACACATTGAAAATGAAATTGTGTTAAGAATTATTGTTTATAGGAAAGGGGCACAGAGGCAGTAACTTTTTACAAACGCAACTAATGTTCATCTTCACAAGGTCTCAGCTAGAGACATGAAGGTCTGAGAAAACAAAAACAACAACAGGACTTTTCCAGTTTTGCTCCACAGAAAAACTGGAAGTTTCAGAGAGAAAAATCTATATTTTCTCTTTTGGGATGAATGGAATGCTCTTTAAGACAAGCCTTGACTTACTCAAAATGTGAACATATTGTAATGGTCAATATTTTTAAGACTTTATTATTTAAATATGATTGTGTTCACAATTAATATGCTGTAATGTACGCGGTGATAATATACCATATAAAAGTTTAACTCAATTTCCAATTGGCTACCAGTCCAATTCGGATTCGTTGGGAAGGTCTACCTGAATAACATACTGTAGTTTGCAGAATTTCTGACCCATGTATGGAAGTCAAGAGTAATATCCTGTAAACCTTGTAAACCATGCTAGGATTGCCTTGTATTTTGAGATATTGGGAATATTGGTTGATGTTGTTCCTTGTACCTACCCTTTAACTTTTTCCTTTGTTTGATTTATCTATGTTAGGCCGAATAAAGGTTTTCTGTTTCTACTGTAGTTTCTCTCCTCTGAAATGTACGCTTTCTATTTTCAGTTTTTATTTTTTCCCTACGTCTCAAGACAGCCAAAGTGACAATGCCTTTGCACGTAACAGAGGAAAAAGCATCTGCGCCTCTTTCAGGCCTTAGGACTGGTCAGAGTCGCGGCTTTGTCTGCAGAAAACCACGGCATTTATGCTTTGCAATGTCTTAAACGTTACAAAGGGTATGGTTATGGTAAATTTAAAAAATGATACATTTTATGTTGTTAAAAGTAGTAACATAGGGCTTAAGGTTTGGCCACAAGCAGGGCTCTTTTTGTAGAAAAAGCCCAGCACGAACTCATTAGCATAACAGGCCACACCCAATAGCAGAAACTCATTAGCATATTAGGCCACACCCCTGACAGCACAGCTCATTGGCATATTAGGCCACTCCCCCACATTACCAGAAGTGTGCTCATCCAGCCACGCCCACCTTTTGCTTCTTATTCTGTTTACCTTGTTTGTGGTCAAAACCCAGGGCTTTTTTTGTAGCAGGAACTCCTTTGCATGTTAGGCCACACACCCCTAATGTAGCCAATCCTAATGAGTTTCTGCTGTTGGGTGTGGCCTGTTATGCTAATGAGTTCCTGCTGGGCGTGGCCAACTCAGGAGCCAGCTGGAACTCCGTTCCTGTGCGTTCCTGCCCAAAAATAGCCCTGGCCACAAGTACTGCACATCTTTCAACTTTCCCCGAAGTCTCAATTTCTCCCGTGGCTCCAAGATTTCCAGAAATTTTACCTCTCACTCTCAGACCATGACTCCTTACTTGTATGCTTTTTCCTTACCATATGCATGGATGTGCACTCCGCCCTCCCACCCCCACTTTCAAGGGGGTCTGAATCCACTGCCCTTTTAGCAAAAACCTCCAACACGCATGCATTAGGGGGGTGGGGATACTGAAATCTTGCTTAGCCATTGAAGCCCTGGCTGCAGACAGGTGGATACCTTAAGATGCACAGCCATGTGAATCTGTCTGTAGCAGCAGAAAAGTGGAAGACTCCAGTAGCACCTTAAAGAGTAACAAAATGTGTGGCAGGGTAGGAGCTTTCGTGAGTCACTGCTCATTTCTTCAACTCCATAGCTGTGAGCCTGGTTGTCAGTTGGATGGTATCTGAAGAAGTGAGCAGTGACTCAAGAAAGCTCATACCCTGCCACAAATGTTGTTAGTCTTTAAGAGAATACCTTGTGAATTTGAACATCTTGCCTTCAGCGATACTATTAGAAAGGTTTAATGGTATCCTATACTTTAATAGATTGAGGATGTGGTACTAACCAAACTGACTATACAGATCATATTCTTTTGGATTGCCCTGAATTTTCAGATTTGAGAGTTGAATTGATTTGTCCTTTGCTTAAGGAGGGCTCTCTCTCTCTCTCTCTCCAGAAGCTAAATCTTCTTGGTTATTATGGGACAAATACAAAGAAGTAATTTCATGGGTGGCTACATTTGGGAGTGGTTGTACTAAAAGCAAGCCGAAACTCAGATAGGAAACATTCGGCTTCCCTGTTAGTGTGTGATGCTCGCTGTTTATGATTCTTGTGGTGAAAACAGCAATTAAGAAGAAGATGCCATGAGAATACAGGGGCTGTGAAGTGACAAGGGAAGGGGAGAGGAAACTGACCACACACTCTTTTGGGATTAGTTCAGATCTAAAAATGCAACAGTTTAAAAATTGGATGTTTTTTCCTTAATTAAAACTGGATTTTCACTTGAAATTTGGGTGTGGGTGGGTTTGTAATTGTGAAGAGTCACAATTACCAGTCCACAGAAGATTCTGTTTTTGTTCTTCTGGGAGAGGCGCCCTTTGGGGCAGGACACCTGACTGCAAGAAACCCAGCCTCGCACAGCCATGCAACTGACAGCTGCCATTTTTAAATTTTTTATTTATTACAATATATATACAAAACAAGAACACATCAGTATTGCAGACCCTTCTGATAAATACGATATTGAACGTATAAGATGCAGAGAACGCCATACAAAAATACTTCTCAATTACGTTGCATTAGAGAAGTGGCTCATAACACCGAATTTAAATCAACCAACTACCAAACACATCATATAACTTTTTAAATGTCAGATATTAAGCAGGTTCATATGTGCAAGTTTTTTAGGAACCATATTGTGAGAAGCCAAATAACCTAATACAGGGAACCACTGTACTACAAATTTGGAATATATATCCATATTACTTTGAGTTATTTGATCAGTGATAAGAACATAAGAGAAGCCAATGTTGGATCAGGCCAATGGCCCATCTAGTCCAGCACTCTGTCACACAGTGGACAAAAATACCAGGTGCCATAAGGAGGTCCACCAGTGGGGCCAGGACACTAGAAGCCCTCCCACTGTTGCCCCCCTTCCAAGCACCAAGAATACAGTGCATCACTTGCCCCAGCCTGAGAGTTCCTATCTATACCTTGTGGCTAATAGCCACTGATGGACTTCTGCTCCATATGCTTATCTAATTCCCGCTTGAAGCCGTCTATGTTTGTAGCCGCCACCTCCTGTGGCAGTGAATTCCATGTGTTAATCACTCTTTGGGTGAAGAAGTACTTCCTTTTATCCGTTCTAACTCGACTGCTCAGCAATGTCATGGAGTGCCCACAAGTTCTTGCATTGTGAGAAAGGGAGAAAAGTACTTCTTTCTCAACCTGCTCTATCCCATGCATAATCCCCATTATGTAGAGATTCCATATTTTGTTATGCCACATATTTATGGAAGTCCCCTGCCTTGTCTCTCCATTTAGCAGCTTTAGTGTTTTTGCTGCAACCAATAATGTGGCTATTCATGTTTTAGTAAATATTGGTACATCTAGATCTGACCAGTAGTTTAGAAATAAGAATTCAGGTTCCAGAGGTATAGGTATATTAAAACCAGTCATAATATAAATCTGATTTAAAACCTGTTCCCAAAATGCCGCGATAACTTTGCATCTCCGCCAACAACGCTCAAACAAACCCACTTCTCCACACGTTTCCCAGCGCAATGGCGCTGCCTTTGAAGGTGGGCGATTTTGCTACATCTCTGACTCGGGAGCAGCTGAATGAGCCAGTCTCATCTGATGCAGAGATGCGGCCTGACCTCCCAGAGGAGCCTGACGGGCAGACCGGGGCAGTGCCTCCCGCAAGGAGAGAGGGGGCTTTTCATTATTTGCTTTATATTGCTTCTACCGCACTAGCACTTCTCTTGCGTCAAACTTGTGTGCTCCAGCAACCAGACTGGGAATTATTTTCGTAACGTTAACCAAAAAGAAAAAAAAGGGGGGGAAATCAAAGAAGGCAAAACCCCTCTTACCCATCTCAGAGTCGCCTCCACCACTGGAGTTCAACTTACGAAATATCTCCTGTTTCTTGGACTTCACCATCGGCGAGGTGCTCTCGAGCTTGGTGAAAAACGAAGGCAGGTAGCTGATGCTCCCTGGAGAACGAGAGTCCGTCCTGCCGAGACCCAAGAAGGCAGCCAGGGAAGATATTAACACAAATGCAAGAGAGAGAGGGCCCGTGCAGCAGTGCCTGTCTGTCCCAACACTGATTTCATTATTTTTAAAATGCCTTAACATTCCCTGTTGGTGCCTACTGCACAAAATAAGTATTACTGAATGTGGCGTTTGGCACCTAACGCACAACATGCAAGCTGCTTCAATGACACGATTCAAATTCAGCGGCCCGTTAGAGAGACACAGACCCCCCCCCCAAAGCAACAACTCCCAAGCTTACAAAAAAGTTGGAAGGGGGAGGGAAAACATCTGTCTGTCTGCAAAATATTAAGCTTAGAGGCTTGCTCTCTAAGGGGAGGGGTTTCCCAAGGACCAAGGATCTTCTCACAAGCCTTCAAATGTCCTGCAAAGAGATTCGCAAGGTCTGGCTGCCCTTGTCTGCTTGGTCCTCCCCCCACACTTGGCTGAAGTGGGTTAACACTCCATCCCTGTGAGTCACTCTCCACCAGAATGCCGGTTTCTATTAAGAGGCAAGCTTTCTGTCTGACATTCTGGCACTTTTAGTCTTCCTGTGATCCTAGACTACGTATGCATCAGCTTTCAGGATGGTCTGGAAGTACAGTAAGGATATGGAGATACTCTTCATGCCTCCTGTTTTGCAGGAGAGATGAACAAATGCCTTAATGGAGATAGATCAAGATGGGTAACCGTGTTTGTCTGGAGCAGTAGAAAAGAGCAAGGGTCCAGTAGCACCTTAAAGACTAACAGAAGCTCATCCCCGCCACAAATTGTGTTAAGTCTTTATTCATTGATTTAATTCGGTTTACACCCCACCCTCCCCACTGTTGCGGTCTTTAAGGCGCTACTGGACTCTTACTCTTTTCAAATGCCTTCAAGTTAGGCTTCAGTACAAAAAATATTCTGCGTCCACCGAGGCAAGCTCCACCTCCTGTGGGCAGTTTGGGCCACCCTTTTGACCGCCCATTTCTCTAGTAAACCAGGATGTCTTGGCCAACAGCCGTTACAGCTTTAAGCATCGTATAAATGTACATCAACTATCCGGAAGTAAATTTTGATTCCTCCCTCCGAGGCCACACTGTTGCAACAAGCACAAGGAGTTATGCGACACCATGAAGATGAACAGATCAAAGCAGACATTTACGTGGGCTTTTTCTGCTTTGCTAAATCTATTTATCTCTGAAGTGCTGCAACACTCCTTTGGAGCTTTGAATCCCTGCACGAGACATCCAGATGTGCCACTTTCAGAGGCTCTTCTACTCTTCTGACAGCTTGGACTATGTACAGGGTGAATTCTGTAACTGGGTCACACACAAACAACCTGAACAACCTCAAGAACTTCACACAAATAAGCACGTGAGGAAGCAGTTTTGGAAGTTGCGGTGCAGTACCTCTGTTCCGCAGGCTCGGATCTTTGGGAGAGCAACATAAGAGCGTCTTGCTTTTCGTGCACGGCTGGGGCCTGGGGTGGCGAGATTGGCTCATAAGGCTCTGAGGAAAGGTGGCTTCTCTCGGGGGACTTCCCAAGCCTAAAAGGGTGCAACACAAGACTGCAGGAGGGCCGCCAGGGTGAATGCCAAAACACAACAAACTCACACACGTGTGCTATTCCCCGCCAGTGTGTTTCAACTGGAGAGGAAATCCGTTAGAAGAAGGGGGGGGGGGGGGGGGGGGGCAGAGATTGGATTTATACCCTGTTTATTACTACCTGAAGGAGTCTCAGGGTGGCTTACAATCTCCTTCCCTTCCTCTCCCCAAAACAGACACCCTGAGAGGTAGGTGGGGCTGAAAGAGCCAGTTTGGCGTAGTGGTTAAGTGCTCTGACTCTAGTCTGGGAGAACGGGGTTTGGTTCCCCACTCCTCCACTTGCAGCTGGCTGGATGACCTTGGGCCAGCCATAGTTCTGATAAGAGCTGTTCCTGTCAAGAGCTCTCTCAGGCCCACCTACCTCACACAGGGTGTCTGTTGTGGGGAGGGGAAGGGAAAAGGAGTTTGTAAGCCGCTCTGAGACACCTTTGGGTAGTGAAGGGCAGGGTATAAATCCAGTCTCCTCCTCCTCCTCCTCTCGAGGACTGCTCTTGAGAGAACAGCTCTGAGAGAACTTGTGACTGACCCAAGGTCACGCCAGCAGCTGCATGTGGAGGAGTGAGGAATCAAACCCATTTCTCCAGATTAGAGTCTTCGCTCCTCACCGGTACACCAAACTGGCTAGGGGTTTTTGTGGAATCCCATTCCTTGAGAGATGTTTGAGCAAAATGTGGACAGCCATCTCACCAGAGAGGCTCCAGAACAGGAAATATCCCAACAGAAGCGTGCTGAGAATCCCTGGCAGAGCCCTGCTCCGTGCTTCAGGGCAAGCAGGCAACTAGGCTTTTTCAGCTACAGGCCTGAGATCACAGGATGGTCTCTTGGGGCCGGGTGCAGATCCCTTAGCCAAAGCTGAGAGACTGGGATCTTGCCCATCTCCCAGGGGCAAGTTCTCCCTGCTCTGAACCACGGTCCTTAACCCTGCCACGCCAGGAAACACTGCTTAGATGGCGCTTTGGTTTGCAGGCCACCCAACTCAGTAGGGCAGAACACGGGCAGAGAGAAAATTTGGGTACTTTCACACATGCTAAATAATGCCGTTTCAATCCACTCCAGTGACTGTTTGCAAGGGGATTTTGCCATTCCACAAAGTAAGATCCAGTTGCAAAGTACATTGAAAGTGGATTGAAAGGGCATTATTCAGGGTGTGTGAAAGCGCTGTGAAATTGTGAAGAGGGAAGAAGTGCACAATTCCATGCTCTCCACTCATGCTCATTCATAGCCAGATTTAAGAGATGCTAATCGGAACATTTGTACTGGCTACCAGAAGAAGAAAATACTCGTTTCTCCAGGCCTTTTGGAAAGAGGTTATCCAAGACAATGGAAGATGTCCTGCATATTCCAAAATAGTTTTATTCATTTATTAAATTAGATTTACTAGGCCACCCTTCCCTACAAGTAGGGCTCAGGGCGGCTCACAACAAATAGTATGCAATCCCAATACAACTACGTTAAAACGATCCAATAAATAACAGTGTGTAAAAACGAGGTACGTACAGTATATAAGATGGCGGAGAAATCCTGACTCCCCAGCCTTACTCTTACCAAGCTCCCCAATTACTATATCATGACTAAATATGTTGCTATAAGATGTCTTGCGTATACTAAAGGAGTGGGGTATAAACAACACAACGGGAAGACTGAACCATCTCTGACCCGATCCAGCAATAATATGCTCCAGGCATGATGGCTGCTGATGGTTTATCGTTACATGACCGAACGGGAGGGGGCACCCCTTTAGGCTCACATGCTCTCCCCCACGTGGCTCATCAATTCTATTCCAGCTTCAAGCTATGGGTTGCGGCCAATATCCAAATCACACGGTATTCGTCCTCTGTTCCACCAAACCAGAATCCAACCAGGCTTTGGAATCCTGGGATGGGAAGGGAGCACAAGCAAGCAAACTAGAGTCTGTACTTTGAACATGAGGACAGACTTTGGTTGGCTACGAAATGGAAGCCCCTCATTATCAGGGGAAGGGAACACACTGAAAGCCTACAGATTCCCCAGGCTCATTCACACGTCACCAGTGAGAAAGAGGGGAAACGGCACGCATCCACTCCAATGTTACCTTCCCCTCCCTTTGTCAGAGAGGTTTTCCGGAGACACCCGGGCCCCTGGGCGCTGGTGGGGGCCAGGCTGCATCTGCGCTTCAGGGCTGTAGCGGTTAGAGGTCTTCACCCGGTTTGATGTGGTGACGTTAGTGGGAGCAGAGGTCTGGAATGTGCTAGTGGGAGGCTGGAGAGAGGGCTGCGTAGAAGCCTGGCTTCGAGCAAAATCCTGTGTAATGATTTGCTGGAGAGAAAGAAGAACAGAGACAACAACAGCACAGCTGTGTGAGACATTCGTCGTTCAAAATTCAATTAAGAACGAAGGCTACCAACTGGTGCCCGACAAAGAAACGTATGTGGGTTTTGCACACTGAATGGCGGGAGAATAGTTTTGGATCATAAACGGATTTGGGTGCAGTGGCAGAAAGGAAGCATGTAAACAAAAAATGGCTTGAGCTTATCGATGAAATAAAATCAACCACATTCCAGTTTGGCTTTCGACTGTCTGCGAATGCGAACACCAGATCAGATCAGAGCTGGTATTTACTTGGATCTGAATGGGCCAAATTTTGTATGCATACAGGCACACAATCCGAATCGCTGCATGCTTTTTTTCAAAATGGCTATGTGCAAATACATGGCCACAGTCTGCAAAAATAAATAAAGTGTCCAAGTATTCAAGGGCTGAACTTGGCCACCCCAACAGACTTCCCCCACCACCATTCAATTCCCTCTAACAGTGACACTGATGCCAATATGCACAAATCAAAAGGCAAAACTCTGAGCAGAGATGTTGAGTTCTCATCAAGCGCAATTCTGTTTCCTTGAAGTACTCAGAATCTGCATTTGTGCGGTTAATAATTTAAATTGCTTCATGTTAATATACAAAGGAGGTTTTCCTTGTCCCTTTGCTCCAGTACTTTCAGAGAAAGTCCAAGATTTTGGGGCCCCGCCCCGAACGAAGGCAAACACTTACACAGATGTGATCAGCCAGCGTGATCAGGCGGTGGGTGCGTGGCACAGGTCCCATTCCTTCTGCCTGGGAGGAAGGGGGTGGCTGTGGTGATGGCGAATCCTGCTGTGGCCTGTAAGAGTGAACCGGCCCCTCGTACTGACGGCCGCAGTCTCCTGGTTAACAGATGTAAAAGGGGGGGGGGGGGAGACAATGTTCTAAAGAGCTGCTTGGCTGAATCATATAAAGGATCAAACCCAGCATCCTTTTCCCAACAGTGGCCAAGCAGAACCTGCAGTTGTGTTACCAAAAGGGAATGCTCAAGGGCAGGGTTCGGTGAGCCAATCCAGTATTCAGTGGAAGTGGCTCCACTGCAGTGCAAAATGCACAGATATGGACGAAAGAGATGGTCCGCGTGTCATACTAAAACAATTGCAAATTATACATGTTAAGCATCTTTGGGCATGCCTTCATCTACCTATTTATATTAAAACAGACCTTCCTCTGATCCAGGGGCCATTAACCTTTTTGAGACTATGGGCACCTTTGGAATTCTGCCATCAAAGGGCGGCCGCTGAAGGTGGAGCCAGCTACAAGATGGCTGCCGCAGCTGACCTTCGGTCATACAGTGAAGACCCTTGGGTTGTGGTGGCCGCTGCTGCTAAACCAATATTTTTTTAAAATCTGCACAGCCGACCAAATCTCCAGTGGCCAATCAGAAGCCCTGCTGGCAAAAACCCCTCCTGGTCCTGCCCACTCCTTAAAAACATTTGGCTGGCACCAGAAAAGGCGCCAGTGGGTGCCATGGTCCCCATCCGGCACCACAGTGGGGATGCCTGCTCTACCCCCCCCCCGCACTAAGTGTTATTCGGAGGTACACTGCCTCTGGATATGGAGCTTTTGTTATATAGTTATACTCAGTGCATCTCTCTCATCCTCATGGCAGGATTAAGCCTCTCGGATTCCTTTCTCCATCTAAGATCACCTTCACAGTTTAAGAGGACAGCATGAACCCAATTCCACATTATTTCCGGGGCCCGATATTTCCATCTGGAGAGATTCTGTACCTCCTTAAATTTTCCAGGTTATTGAACTCTACGCCCCCTTTGGCAGACAGAGCTCCACATGCTCCAATATGCCGTTTCCTGCCTTTTGTTCTACAGGGATTGTGCCAAGTGCATCCCACTGAGTCCTGCTGCCGTACCAGGTTTCCGAAAGGCAGCATGGCAGTGCCCCTATCTGGGCTTCCAGCCTCCTGGGATACACCTTGCTCAGTGCCCTCTTTGAGCGTCATCCTCCCTATGCAGCATTTTGTTCTCTCCAACATCTCTCCCTTTTGTTCCTGTAGGCACTACATACTTCTGCCTCTCTCTGCAGTTCGGTGCCGTGGTTAAGAGAGTGGACTCTAATCTCGGAGAACCGGGTTTGAGTCCCACTCCTCTACATGCAGCTGCTGGGGTGACCTCGGGCCAGTCACAGTTCTCTCAGAGCTCTCCCAGCCCCACCTGCTACACGGGGTGTCTGTTGTGGGGAGAGGAAGGGAAGGAGGTTGTAAGCGGCTCTGAGACTCGGAGTAAAAGGGCGGGGTATAAATCCAGTTCTTCTTCTTCTTCTTTCACATGACCAGTCTGGCAATATGCAGTTCCCAGGTCCTGCTAACTTCCCTCAGCATCAGATACTAAGAGACAGACCGCCCCCAAACAGGCAAGCTTCACTTAGCCATCAGGGGAAAACGTACTGTGTGCAGTGTCCCTTATTGGGTACCCTTTAATGTTCTGCACCAGGTAACAAAACAAGGTTGCCACTAAAATTTTATTTTTCATTTTCCCTGACTTTCCCTGACCAACATTTGTCAATTTCCCTGACCACCATTCAAATATAACCACAAGTTAAAAAACGTATTGCATTAATGCAAAGTAAGGTCCCACTCTACAACTACACAAGTCTCAACTGCAAAAATATTTGTCAAAGAGATTTAATATCAGCTTCTTTCGACATTAACTGCAGCAACATCTGGTTTGCAACTGCATCAAAAATTACACCAAGTTACAAATTTCAATTCAAGTAAACACTGAATGCTAACAAATGAAGTAACATTCTTGTTACTGTTTTAAAGGGACACTAAAAATTATATAAACGTTTATATAAACGTTCTATCTAAAAGGGTTGGGAAAGGGCATCCTTGAGTTCTACTTGTATTCTGCTACTTCTCTACTCCAGTTGCCACAAGAACAGATCAGGCTCTCGCAGCAGCAGGTCAGAAATCCACGGCTTGAATATATTTTAATCACAATTTCCCTGACTTTCCCTGGCTTCAGACCAATTTCCCTGGCTTTCCCTGATCAATTTTCATTTCCCTGACTTTCCAGAAAGTGGCAACCCTGCTAAATGTCTTCGGCTGGCTTGGCAAACGTCGAAGAGACTGGCCTACTCAATAACCTTTTGCGACCAGGGTGGGGGGAGGGAGGCAGGGAATTAAGCAACCAAACTTACTTTCCGTCTGGGCCATTTTGGGGGCCTCCTGCTGATAAGGTGGCATCTTTTCTTGGGGAGGGATTGGCGAGTTTGCGGGGCTAATCACCTCGATGGCGTCTCTGGGTGGTTCGTATCGGTGGGAGGAGGAGACTGCGGGAACAGGGGGGGGGAAGAGTCATCAAAGAGCATTCGAGGCCACATGTCTTTTATTTACCTGCTGAGTATGCTCACCGGAACGGGCCTCATTTCCGAGTAAACCTGCACAGGACATTTCCTTTTCTGCTTTGGAGCGGAGTTCAACTGCAGTGATCCACAACTGAGCCAGAGGGTCAAGTTGAAGATCAACGTAAACTTGCCTCTGCCAACGAATTTTCGCAATGCAAACTGCAGACCTTTCCAAGGTCTAGATCACTCTCCTAACCTTCCAAGGTTCCCCCCCCCCTTCTCCCGAGTAATCTATCTCGTTTGTACCATTTCATTTGGCAGGACTGTGTCAACGCTAGCCTTCTGGAGGAACACAGAAAGAGCTGCGTTGGGTGCAAAAAGCAGCTTTCTTTTTAAATGTGTATTTGAAAATACAGGCTTGAAGGTCTTGAAAAGGTGCCCCCCAACCTTTTTGACCCTGCGGGCACCTTTGAAATTCTGACATTGGGGGGGCGCACAGCCACAAAATGGCTGTTATCTTCGGGACCCCCCTCCTCTGGTATGTAACCTGAACAGCATTACACTCCGCTGAAAACAATCTACTGGTGACCCCTGGCCCTAAAGACATCCGGCTGTCCTCGACCAGAGCCGTCTCAGCCCTGGCCCCGACCTGGTGGAACTCTTTGCAAACAACATCAGAGCCCTGCGGGACTGAATGCAATTCTGCAGGGCCCGCAAGGCACAGATGTTTTGTCAGGCTTCTGGTTGAGGACAGCAATGGGCAATAACATCGCTGGCACCTTCCTTTTTCTTCCTCTTTCTTCCTCTCCCCACCCCCCTCCCTATCCTGCTTGAATGCTGGCAACACAGTCCAGAACTGGTCAGTGGCAGACTATTAACGACATCTGGGGATTAATTTTAAGTCTGTAATATTATATTTGTTGTATTTTAACTAGTAATTATGACGTATTTATGGATATTTTCACTGATCTAAATCACCCAGAGCTCTGTGTATTCAGGGATTGGGCGATGCGAGAGGATAGGTAGATAGGTAGACAGACAGACAGACAAAAGAGGCAAAGCCAGACACAAAATGGCTGCCGCAGCTTACCTCCGACCACACAGTAAAGATCCTTGTGCTTTGGTGGCAGCTGCTACTAAAGCAACAGTTAAGAAAACCCGAGAAGCCAATATCTTCAATGGCCAATCAGAAACCTTGCAGGGCAAAAGCCCCCCTCCCCGGCCTTGCTCACTTTCTATACACACTTGGCAGGTACCATGTAGGGGACCCCTAGTCTTGGGTGATGCCTACTAAAAGGCAGATGGGTGGTGGTGGTTTGGGCCAAGCCTCACTGCCCCCCTCATAAAAGTAGAAGAGTAAAATTCAGGGCAGAACACATTCACACTTGGTCACAGAGAAGTCTTTGTATGGGAAAAAGGAATCCGAATTCTGCAACCAGCATATAAAAATCAGCAGATTTGCACGATCGCCCTTATTATGCCCCACAGGCTCTGCTTCCACCAGCCACGGCCAGAAGCTCTGCAGAGGTGGGAAAGGGGTGCATTACGTGGCAACGGAAGGGCAGAGGGAGCACCAGAGGAACAAAACCCTGGGGGCGAAGGGCTGTTGGGGAACAGCAGCCGTGTTGTGCCTGTTCTAACCCAGCAGGCCCCGTGCGTGAATTTGGAATTTGAAGGGGACCAAAATGTGTTGTGGGGGGACATCTTTGTCCTGGAGGGAGAGCAGGCTGCGGCGACCAGCTCGTAGCCAAGCTAATGGAGGAAGAGCAATGCGAGGAGGAGACTCCCTCATTGGGCTTCCCATTGTGCTTCTGCCAAGCCAAGCTGAGCTAAAGGAGCAGAAATCCGGGGGAAGTCAACGTACGGCTGCTGGAAGAGTCCGAACTCTGGGAGCCGCGGTCCCGGGCATCCTTGTCGGAGGCGATCTGCCGCGTGATGATCACGTCGATGAAGTTGGCCGCTGTGATGGTGGTCTTCCCGCGGGTCCGCAGCTCCTCCTCGTACTTGGAGATGGAGGGGGGGCCTTTGTCCTTCCCAGCTTCTGAGTAGATGGCCGAAGACGACTGGCTCTGAGGCTTGCTGGCAGAGAAGGCAGATGACGACGATGACGTGTACGGGCACGGAGGCCCCCTCTTCTCTGCCTCCAGCACCTTCTGTTCCATCTGCTGCTGTTCGCTCACCACCGCCGACCGGCGGCCCGGGTTCTCTTCGATCCGGCCGCCGTCGTGCTTGCTCTCTTTCGACTTGGCCACTTCCATCTGGGGGGCGGAGGCGGCCGCGTCCACCAGGGCGGCCAAGGCGTCGGCAGCCGTGTTGAAGCGTGAAGCGGGCAAGCCCTGAGTTATGGAGGGGGCGCCAGGAGGGAGCTGCCTGTTGGCAAAAGGGGAATGGCTTCAAGACATTTGACCATCATAGCATTTCTGGAGGACCTTCAGCGGTTGCAGACAGTCACAGACATGATCATGCTGCCGCTCTTATTCTACCAGCATCTTGGGAGAGGCATTCCCACCTTTTAAAATTATTTATTTATTTGTGGTATTTTTATCCCGCCCCTCCCCGCAAGCAGGCTCAGGGCGGCTTACATTACTTGGCACAATGTACCAAGTGCATATAAAACAATTAAAACCATTTAAAACAATCAAACCAATTTACAGTTTAAAGTGCTCACAGTGTCATTAATTCAAGATGGCGTACCATACAGTGTGGCCTCCAAGCACCCAGCTCAGCGGTCTCCCAGCATGTCAAGCTAATATGGCTCACTTTAATCTACGGCCAGCCCAACTCCACTGACATTAATAGTGGACGTTGGTGGTAGTGGTGAGGGTGGCTCCTAATTGAAAGCCTGGTGGAAGAGCTCCGTCTTGCAGGTCCTGCGGAATTGCAGAAGATCCCGCAGGGCCCTGATCTCCTCCGGGAGCTCAGAGAGGGTGCCTTTTCTCACCCGCTGCCTGCAGTGACAGGCACAGGCATCTCCTGAAACCAAGAGCGGGCACTTTCCCCCTCCATATGCATTTATCTGAAAGAGGTATAACACCCCCCCCCCAAGTCCTGAAAACCAGTTTCCGATTATCAGGTTTCCAACAGATTACACCGTCAGAAGTTCAGCTTTGGATGCAGTATGTCTCAGTGGTTCGGTAGCTGACAGAGATGCTGAAGAGTGTGGGCTTTCAAAGCCCAGTTCTCTGGTGTTCTTCCTGTCCCCTGGGGACCACAGCTAGCCTGAAATAAACAGCCTCTCCAGCAAAGGAGCAAGACCAGCCATAACCATCCCAGACAGGTGAGGCTTCTCATACAAGCTCAATTCAGGTATGAAGCTGATGGGCAGTAGGTTCAGGATGGACAAAAGGAAAGACCACTTTACACAGAGAGTGAGTAAAATGTGGAATTTGCTGTCTGAGGATGTAGTGATGGCCACAGGAATAAACAGCTTTAAAAAGGGATTAGATAGATTCATGGAGGAGAAGTCTATCAATGGCTACGAGCCATGGTGACTGAGGGGAGCCTCCACATTCAGAGGCACTAATCCTCTGAATCCCAGAGCCAGGAGGCAACAACATGGGAAGCCTCGGCCTCCACGCCCTGCTGTTGACTACTTTGTGAGCTACTGGCACTAACGTTGTGAGCGAGCGATTTGGCTACTGCATAAATTAGTTTGCCCTGGAGCCATCCTTCCTGAGCTGAGACAAAAATCTGTTGGAGACAGCCTGGCTATCAACTTTAAAATTTTGGTTACGTCTCCAATTCAGAACAAAATCCAATAGCTATGTTCACCTCCTATTGTCAGACACATTTACATCCAACTGGACAAATTCAATTCTGACAAAAATACAATCAGCTGGCATCTCCCTTGACTCCCTGCTTTTGTCAGGTGAATCTCAATTTTTTAGGTCCTTGAAACAGAGAATGTTCAGGTCATAATGTGGATATAGATGACTGGTCCAAAATATGGAAAGCCATAAAATTCATGAGAGCAATACCTTATAAAGAAAATATATATGTTTTTTAAGATGGTACTGCTCACCAGAAAGAATAGCTAAATGTTATACAAATATGTCTAAAAATTGTTGGAAGTGTAAGCACAGTGTAGGAACTTTTTATCATATGTGGTGGAGGTGCCATATAACTCAAAATTATTGGCGCAAAGTGTATAAAATAATTTATGAAATTGTGAACATAGAATTACCATGTATACCAGAAGTCTTTTTGTTAAATATACTATCAGATAAGGTTAAAAAAATTGATCAATATGTAATAACATATATATTAATAGCAGCGCATATTCTGTTTGCGAAATATTGGAAATCGGTAAGAATACCCTCCAAAGAAGATATAATATCTAGATTGTTGGATATAGTGGAGAGGGACAAATTGTTAATAATACTACTAGGGAAAAAAAAAAATGATGACCTGTTTAGAGAAAGATGGAACAGATTACATACCTGGTTAGGTAAAAAATAATGTGATAGACTCACTGTATGTTAATTTTAATATTGTACCAGATACGCCTGTTTATGGTGAAGTTAAAATCATAAATAAAAATTAAAAAAATAAATAAAAAGAAACAGAGAATGTTCGATATTGAAAAACAAACTCTGTTCTGGATGCATCCCTTCCTTTCCCTCTGAAGTTTAACATAACTCCGAGAAATGGGCTTATAGCTGATTATTTTCTACAGCTCACCGCACCATCACTAAGACGAGGTTTTATGCTAGCACACTGATGCCCTACCGTCAGAGGTCCTTTACGGTCGATTTGGTAATACCCCCTACCTCGAAAGCACCTGCCCATGTAACAGCAGGAACCCAGAATCGATTGCTCATATCTTGCTCAGCTGTGAATTTTATAATAGAATTCGGGATGTTCTAACCAGCTCCCTCCTGCACAATAAGCATAGTCTATCTGAAGAGAGACTTATATCTTTCCTTTTATTAGATCTTAAGAACATAAAAGCCAATGTTGGATCAGGCCAATGGCCCATCTAGTCCAGCACTCTGTCACACAGTGGTCAAAAATACCAGGTGCCATCAGGACGTCCATCAGTGGGGCCAGGACATTAGAAGGCCTCCCACTGTTGCCCCTCCCAAGCACCAAGAATACAGTGCATCATCTGCCCCAGCCTGTGAGTTCCTATCTATACCTTTAACCTCACATTACTTTCTCAGTAGCATGATTTCTTCCTACCGCTATGAGGGTAAGAGAATATAAGGTCGAAGCCCTGGTGGATTGACTGTTTATATTTACATAACTTTGATATGCACTTCAAAATGTGATCCATGCCGTGTGTTATCTATGCCAATAAAGGTTGACTGACTGACAAAAATCTGTGAGCTAGAAGCTAAAAAACTGAGCTAGCTCACACTAACTCAGCTTAGAGGGAACACTGCTTTCTACCACCGCCACAGGCTCATTTAGCCCATGGCTATCGACATATGGGGTTGTCAAACATAAGGCCCAGGGGCCGGAAGCGGCCCATCTGGAGCTCTTATGCAGCCTGCGAGCAACAGGTATAAGGGAGGCAGTGCTGGGGGGAGCAGGCTGAGCCACTCCATTGTGGCTTTAGCAAGGCAGGACAACCTCATCTGCAGCACTCTAGCAGTGTGGGCACATCCGCCCGCGCTGCACTGCTGCCTCTCCAGTCCGCCCATGTGGGTTTTCCTCTGCACCCCCCTCCCACCCCAGGGGGCCTTGCAGTGAGGACACACCAACTTGGAGCTTACCAGCTGCTGTCCTTTATACAGTTTCTATCACCGGTACCTGGCATTATGTTTTATGGCACACATGGCCTGGCCCGACAGACATTTATGTCAGATCTGGCCCTCGTAACAAATGAGTTTGACACCTCCGGTCTACGAGATTTACAGGACAAGAAGTGAGCAGTGACTTGAGAAAGCTGCCTTTCTCCTGCCACAAATTTTGCTAGTCTTCAAGATGGTACCGGACTCTTGCTCTTTCCAAGGTCTCGGGCAGCTGTCTTCCCCTGCCTTGCTGCCTCAGACCCTTCCTTCCTGCATATGCCTGGGATGGGACCAGGGAGCTTCTGAAGGCAAATCATGTGCCCTGCCCACCCCGGGAACTTCTCACAGTTTTTTCTGTGTTAAGCAAAGAGATTCATCAGCGAGCACCGTGCTGTGGCGGGCTCTGCAGCAAACTCTCAAACCGTACATGATGCGTAACTGGGCCGCGGGATCCAGAGTCGTGATCACGCTTGTGCCGTTGGATCCCTGGAAAATGCTGGGCCTCTGCTGCAAGATGTTCTCTTGGCTCCGGACCGAAGGGGAGGGTGAGCGGACGTACCCGTGGCTCCCGGGCCTCCCGGGCTGCTCAGCGCCTGAGGGGTGCAAAGAAAGGTCAGATTAGAGATTTAAAACCTTTTCATGAGCCTAAAATACCCATAAACACAGGGAGGAGGAGGAAGGAAACATCTGTGCAAGATGCATCACTCTGATCCAGCCACCTTCCAACTGGCTTCTGCTGGGGACGGTCAATTCAGCGGCTTCTCTGCCTCGGGTACAGTTGGATGAATCCCTCCAGGAACCCAGAACCACCCAAACAACATATTCAGTGGACGCTCCTTATTGTGTCTCTGCACGAGCCACTGCTCTGGGCTGTTTTGCTTCTGGTTGAAAGGCACGTCCAGACTCCAAGAAAGAATTCTTACATGCAGAAGCACATGTTGCCCCCCAATTTTAATTTAAAACAAGTGTCGCTGAGCTATTAGGACCATGGGAAACATCCCTTCCCTTCCTCATCTTCAGAAAGGGGGGAGGGGGGCAAGGAGCAGCATTTGCCCCTCTCTGACTTGTGTGGTTCCTTGTTGCGTTTGCCACACCTGGCTCCAGTTCAAAGATTGGGCAACAGGCACTCACCTGGACGGAGGTAAAGCTCGGAGGGAACTGCTGCCATTCTCTCCCTCTCGCGTTCGCGTTCTCTCTCCCGCTCCCTCTCCCGTTCTCTCTCCCGCTCCCGTTCCTTCTCCCTCTCCCGCTCTCGTTCTCTCTCGGCATTTGCAACTGCAGATGCTGCCAGATGTGAAGGGTGCCCTGCCAAACAAAAGAGAAATGCTTTGAGAAAAAGTGGCAGAGACTAGCAACAAAAGGCAGCTCCTCCACTACAAACTCATACTGGTTTTGTATGCCAGTTTCACCATCACAGCTTCCTCCAAAAGGATTCTGGGAGCTGTAGTTTTGGCAAAGGTAGCTGGTCAAATTCCTGCAGTCTCCTACAGTTCCCAGGGTTCCCTGAGGATGTCTGCACAGACACTAAGTCCAGGGTGAAAAAAATATGTCTCACAATTTGGAGGATGTTACCATCACCAGGATGGTGAGAGGGTTTGAATCCAAGTCTTATGAGGAAAGGCTGAAAGAGTTGGGTCTGTTTAGCCTGGGAAAGAGAAGGCTTAGAGGAGACATGATTGAAGTCTTCAAGTATTTGAAGGGCTGTCATGTAGAAGATGGAGCAGATCTATTCTCTCTTGCTGCGGATTGCAAGACTAGATATAATGGGTGGAAATTACAAGGGAGTCATTACCGGCTAAATATCACGAAAAACTTCCTAACTGTAAGAGTGGTTGAGCAGTGGAACAGACTGCCTCGGGAGGTGGTGGATGCTCCTTCGCTGGATGTTTTCAAGCGGAGACTGGATGACCATCTTTTGGGTATGTTGTAGGGCTCTCTTTCGGCTGTGCTCCTGCAGAGTGCAGGGGGTTGGACTAGATGACCTGCAAGGGCCCTTCCAACTCTAACATTCCATGATTCTATGATCAGGTACACAGACAAGAAATCCCAGCATGCTTTCCACCATACCCACTTGCTAGCCGCACCTTCGCCACTCAAGTATCACTGAGTGTGGCTTTATGAAGCATATGGACCACCATTCAACAGAGCAATTTTTTTTTCCAATGCAGGGTAATACACTGTCACTTCCTCGAAAGGGTTTTCCGGGCGGCCCAAGAGGAAATGCAATGATCTCTGGAAACCAACTAGGTCAGGTGAACAGCTTCAAATCCCTGCCTGACACACCGCGGGATAGGGCAGACGTTTGTCAGCTGCTCACCAGATGCTCACCAGAGGGGCATGCCTCTTCCCTTTAGGCGAATAAATGGAAGTACAAATGAACTGATGCACCCACAACCACAGGAGAGGCTGATGGCTACGTGGTTGATTTTGAATCCTACCTAACAGAGACTGTCAAGATACCATTTTCTGGTGCCGGGGAGGGGAGGCAAATTGCGTCACTGACTCCTAGGACTTGGTCCTGGAGAGGGTATATATCATATCAGAAGCTGGGATGTTCTTGCAAATTATTAACAAAGTTACACAGATAGGCTAAATGGTAAAAACCAAGAAGGTTCCCACACATAGTTAAGCAAGTGAATTGCAGAGATACAGAAGGAATACTTAGGCGAAACAGACCATCTGCCTCTTAGTCTGTCCTCCTGCCTTCACTGGAAAGCCCACGAGCAGGGCATGAATCAGACAACCTTCCAGCATGGTTTAGGCTCCGGATCAGGTACTGCCAGTGCCTCTGAATAGAGGTTTCCACTTCCCCAGTGCATCAAGCCATTCTGTGCTGCAGATAGTGATGTGGGTTTTCCAGGAAAATTTGAACTGGAATTTTGTTTTAATTAAAAGGTTTCCAGTTCAAATTTAAATAAATGATCTAGATCACATTACCAAAAGGAGGCAGATGTTGTCCATATTTCATATGCCACATTCAGTGTTCCCTCTAAGCTGAGTTAGTGTGAGCTAGCTCATAGTTTTTTAGCCTCTAGCTCACACATTTCTGTCTTAGCTCAGGAAGGAGGGCTCCAGAGCAAACTGATTTATGAAGCAGCCAACGCGCTCACTCACAGCTTTAATGCCAGTAGCTCACAAAGTAGAATTTTTGCTCACAAGACTCCACAGCTTAGAGGGGACATTGGCCACATTTAACCCATCTGACTTGACTGATTTGCAGCTCAACTGCCCAGCAACTACAGATAAACAAATTATACTTACATAAGTGGGGCAGAAACTTTTCCACAGAAAAATAGAGCGTCAGAAGATTTCCCACCCCACATCACTGCAATGAGTGCCACAAGCCATGAGTGCCACAAGTCAATTATGTGTTGTGTCGAGTCAATTAAGTACTGGGCCGAGTCAATTATGCATTGTGACAAACAGCAGAACCCTTTGACTGCATTCTGCCTACTGGTCATCCCATTTGCACTGCAGAGATGATGCCAGTCTCCTTATCGGCACTGAGGCCTGCCTTTGTTGTTAGGGCTGAGAAGACTTCTGATGCCCTACCAACTGCAGTTACCATCGTAATTTGTGGGGGTGTCCCCGTAGCTCTTACTCGACGCTGCTGAGCAGGGCAGCCCTTACCTGGGGACATGGAAGGGGGGTTGTAGGGTCGAGGGAATGCAAGTTGCGTCGTTCCAGGGATGTACGTGATTCTCTCCATTGGGGGTGTGCTTGTTCCTCCAGGGTGAGGCACTAAGATAGTGGGAGCCATGCTGTTCAGATCAATTATTCCTGATTGAAAAGAGGGGAAAATGGAAGTTGCGGTGTCAGGCACTGCTCAGTCTCCATTCTAAAAAGCATAGGCCGGGCGAAAAAAGACTTACCTCTTGCTCCTGCGTAGGGAAGCGCCAGTGTTTGCTCCCGGGGAGAGAGCCCCCGGGCAAGGTCAGGACGCAGGTTGACCTGCATTTGCTGGGAAGTGATGTAATCATTTAAAATGGTCTGCCGGGTGTTCTCCATCGCATAGAGCTGGTACTGGCTGGGGTACCCAGGTGTGGGAGAGAGCTGACGCTGGAACATGTAGGCAGTAGCTGAGGGGTGGAAGGGAGGGAGAGAAAGGCAAGGGTCATTTGCGGAGCAGAACTGCTAGGAGCTTGCAGCACTAAATGCACTCAGGGTAACAACGATCCCCGCGTTAGGACTGTATTTCCTTGGTGCCACTGAGCCAATCGGATCTACTAAAGCGGAGCTACTGGATTTAGGCAACCAAACTGTGTGCTTCCTGGCTAGTGCTCAGAGGTGATGGGGAAGCTAAGTGACTGCGAGTGGCAGTGAGTCTCCACCCTTTGGAAGTGGGAAGCTGGTTTCATCCTTCTTCCCCTAAGAAAGTCTGCATCCTAGAAAGCTGAGAAGGCTACATTTGCATGTTATCCAGATGGGCATAAAAACGGCTCTGTCCATACGAGGGACTTGCAGGCCGCCTTAAGTACCCTCAGAGACTGCAGGCTGGGTAACATTGCACTCCCTGTCTGGTAGCTTCTTAGTGAAGCTCGGCAGTTAACCTGAGAGGAGACTGAATTTGGAAAGCTGGCTGCTCCATTTGAACATCTCCACTCTGATTTTGCTTCTCCTTTGGTAGAAGTGGATCTGAGAATCTCTGTTTTTGTTCTGGTTGCTCTTTCCTCAGAAAACTGTGTGCCGTTTCCAGTGTTATTTATGCGCCAACTGCACAACATTTGAAAATAGCCCCATCCTTAGCAGTTACTTACTGACCAGGCACATAAAAAGATCTGCACATCTGTACACGCGCCACACAAATTGGGAACTGGATATTATCTGTCATGACTTTCCTCCTTGCACAAGCCTTCTCTGGCTGTTTTGTTGTATTCCGGCAGGGTCTGGCCATGTGCATGACAGGAGCAGGCTGGAGCAGTCACCAAGAGGAGGGCTCAGCCTTCCCCACCAGTGCAGTCTTGAATGCGTCCCTTCCCCCATACTTAAATGGCTGCCATTCCTTGCTATGTGGAAACACAGTCAAATCAGCAGAAGGGAGTATAAACGCTGTGTAGCCCTAAACGGCTCTCAAACAGAAACTTTATTAACAATATTATCAAATGTCTAAAAAAAATCAATGTTACAACACAAACATACAGCAGAAAATCATGAATGAAACCCGGCTCATAACACTGAAGGAGCCATATAGTACAAATCAATGTATAAACAATTATAGAGAGACTAGAAATAAGGCCCGTTGTGGAAATAAATACAACGAAAGCTAGAAAGAGGCTCTGGGAGAGTGCTCTGGCTTTGGGCAAACAGTGTCAGCCTGCTTTTAAAACATGAACCTGGGACCTGCACACCACCAGAATACAGCAGGTTCCATATGCAACTGACATTCCAACTGCCTTGCGGGGGGGGAGGGGGGAGTTTGAGGTGTGGAATGGAGTGAAGTCCAATCAGCTTCCATATGCAAAAGACCAGGTTGTCGCAGCAGTTGTGGTGTGGGCGGGACCCGGGCTTTGCCTTCTGATTAGTGGCGATATATGCTGAGGAGCAGTGCCATCAGCCATACACTAAGGGAGTGCATTTTAGAATTAGAACTTTGGCACCCACTATTCAATTATATATAAGGAGAGATTGTAAACGTCTTCATAAGTAATGTGGCTCCAGACTCTGTATACAGCCATAGAATCAATAATACACATTAATCATGAGACAAGGATTCCGGTTTCAAAATCTTTTTCAATCGTGTCTGTTGTGTCAGTCAATGTATCATATCACAAAAAGGACAATTTCACATGGCCATCATGGACCCAAAGGGTTTACAGTCTGGTGTATAATGATCCACATAAACGGGCTTCCAACTAAATAATATTAACAAAGGTGATAACTCACATGTAACGACTGTAGTGTAGATTTTTTTGCTGTATGTTTGTGTTGTAACATTGATTGTTTAATTTATTGTCTTTTAGACATTTGATAATACTGTTAACAAAGTTTCTATTTTAGAGCAGTTTAGGGCTATACAGTGTTTATACTCCCTTCTGTTGCTATGTGGAAAAGCAAAGTATTTTGCGGGGGCGGAGGGCGATTTGCCTTTGTGCCCCCAATGCTGGAGGACCTCCTGTTCACTGAGTGGGATCCCCACAGGGTGCACAAAGGAACAGAAATGTACTGCTGCCTGACCTCCCCTCCCTGGGAGCACTTGCAGGATACCAGTCTGTCCTTTTGTGACCACAAGCATTTTCCTAATATTAACTTCAAGCACACAGGCAAACACGCCCCACAGCCACTTTTTACACTTTGGTTATCTCTGCAGGCCTTGAACTCTTTGACTTATTTGCAGAAACCCACAGACACAGCTGTGTGACCAAGTAACCAACATTCTGCAAGACAACCCATGTTTTACTATGTGAATAAAATTATGTAAGCAAAGCTACACAGATTCGGCATCTCAAGACAGGGAGGGGAGCAGTACTCAGAGGCAAGCAGCGAATTTCAGCACCTCTGAGAGCGCTTTAAACCTCTTCACAGACAGCAGAAGCCAAATAAATTCTGCAAAAGTAGCCCAGAGGTGCCAGTTTGCTTAAATTGCTTCCATGGGCTAATAAATTTGAAATTTAGGCTGTTATTTTAAAAGACTGTGCTCAAAGAAATTCTTGGGTTCCTCTGAAACTTGTCAGGACAAACTTCCCTCAAAGGATTGCACTCCATTGTCGGCCTTCCCCTGCGCTGGGCAGGTGACAGAGTGCTCCCGAGAGTACCTCCAACTCTCACTGGGCCCACGACAGCTGGCCTAACCCCTGGGCCTGTTCCCATGTGTGGGCCAGGCATCGATGCACATGAAGGGAGAAGGCGAGTATATGTACCAGGATCCAGAGCCCTATGGAACTGCATAGCAGGGTCCAGGTGCGAAGGGAGGTGGCTCCTGTAGACCTCGGAAGTGGCGCCTCTGTGATGGGGGTCGAAGGGGCTGTGAGCGACCACAGGATCCACCCCTGGCACTGGAGATTTTGACGGCACGCTCTCCCTCTGTGTCGGGGTGAGAGTGGATTTCCTCTCGTGATTTGCAGACTTCCCAGAAGACATGTTGGCTGAAAGAGAAATGTGGTCAAGCTCAGGGCCTCGCCTGCTTAAAGGGGAATATTTCAAAGTGGATATTTTAGTCCTCAAGAGACTAGGCACTGCGGGGAGGGGGGAACCTTTCAGAGCTGCAAACCAGATCCTCCTGGCTTTGAGTAGCTGGTGATTAATGACCTTCGCCCGTCCATTCCTTTCTCCCCAAAATAACCTGTGCTCTGATGCAACACCTCTGGAGTGACTCAGTGCCGCAGTGAAACCTGAGCCCCGCGGATCCTCCCTTTGCATCCAGCTGGTTGCGCCTGGTTAAAGGCTGCCAGCAACACCAGACCTGAGCTTACATTTACTTTGAGGTTCTTTAAAAAAAAAAAAAAACACCCTGAAAGCTGGAGATTCTCCCAGTTCCTGCCTCTGTGCCTCAAAGTCACTTCTCCACCCGTATCAGCTGCCAATTCTCCTCTTCCAAATTTGCCAAAGTGTCCTCTTCTTCCACAAAGAATTTGCTGGCTCTCCACCCTGCGCTTGCCTTTTACAAAGACCCAGTTTAACACAGCAGGGGACAGAGGGCTGAACTGGGAAGTCTGGGCTCAAGGCCCCTCTTTCATGGGTCAACACATGCACTGGTCTCGTGGCTCGTTATTTAACATGCTGGGCTATATTCCCACAGCTGTTTTGCTAGTGGCAAACGCGGTACCCTGAGCAAGGAATCTTTGTCAAAGAAGGGTATTTGTACCAGAGGAAAGTGCTGCCATTTGCTGACAGGCCCGTGAGATCCAGGCCATCAATACTGCCTCAAGAAAAAGACATAACGTTACCTGGTAGATCAACTAAATTCTAATTCATGTACAGAGATAGTAATACGCACAAGGCCGAACAATTCACTCTGGCTTCTATTCTGGCCATCAAACGCAGCCGTTAAAAAAAAAAACCCAGGAAGTTTTAAACAGCCGCGCATGGTGAATCCGGGGACAAAAGTCTGTTCTTGAATGAAGGTACGGCTGAAGCACGCAGCAGACGGTGCTCATTGGAGGGAGGAAGAGAACATCCCTGATTTTGGCACAGCTAGCAGAGAACACTCCCCCCTACCTTTGCCACTGGGGGACATCATGCTGCAATTAAAAAGGCAGTCCCCCCCCCCCCTTGTACAAGGGAACTTTTAGCTTCACGGAACACTGGACAGTGTTTTAAACTGTCACACAGCTTGTGGGGGAATTGTCCACATTTGCTTTATAGACGGACTGGAAGCATTCCAACATGACCTTGGCCTCTAGTGAGAGCAGAATAAGGCTTCTGGATCAGCCAGGCCACGCATGAGCACACACAGGCCAGCCTCCTGCCCTTGCCAAGTCAGCAGACCAGGGTCTTCCCTCCGTCTGCAGCGTGGCAGGCTCCATCTCCTCCCAACTAATCTCAGGGGACTAACCTGGATGGCAGAACCCACTCGGCTGGGCACTCCACTACAGTTGGCCGGTTGGCCAGCTATGGCCATTCCTGGCCGGGAAAGGTCTTGCCACTGTGGCGCATGCTTTGGTATCATCCAGGCTACTGCAATGCACCCTACAGGGGTCTGGCACTTGAAGACTGTCCAAAAGCCAGTCGGTACAGAATGCTGACTGGAGTGGGTCGCAGGGACCATATCACTCCTGTCTTGTTCCACGTACATTGGCTCCCAATTTGCTTCCAGGCCCAATTAAAGGTGCTGGTATTGACCTGTAAATCCCTATATGGCTTGGGGCCAGCATATCTGAAGGACCGCCTGTTCTCATATGAACCTAGTAAAGGTAAAGGTTCCCTTGCTCGAAAGCCAGTCGAATCCGACTCTAGGGTTGCGGTGCTCATCTCCGTTTCAAAGCCGTTTTAAAGCTGAAGAGCCAGCGCTGTCCAAAGACGTTTCCGTGGTCATGTGGCCGGCATGGAACGCTGTTACCTTCCCACAGAAGTGGTCCCTATTTATCTACTTGCAATCTCTTGCTTTCGAACTGCTAGGTTGGCAGGAGCTGGAACTAGAGACGGGAGCTCACTCCGTCATGCGGCAACCCGGGTCTCGAACTGCTGAACTACTGACCTTCCACAGCCTGCAGTTCAGCGTCTTAACCACTTGAGCCACCGCAGCTCCCCATATGAACCTACCTGACCACTATAGTCATCTACAGAGGCTCTGCTTTGGGGACCCCTATTAACTGAGGCAGCCAGAGAAAGGACACTGATTGTCAGCTGTGGCACCAAAACTTTGGAACTCCCCCCCCAAATTCGTATGTCTCCCTCTATCATTGCAGGTGAAGACTCTCTCGTTTTGTTTGGCGCTCCTTCACTAACTCTTACTCGACCTCCTTCCTGTCTGGATGCTGTGTTTATATTTTTATGTGGTGGTTTATACTGTTTTATCTAACCATTTTAAACACTTCATACATATCTATTTTTAATGTTTTGCTTTAAGGTTTTATTTTAATGTCCTCCATCCTGAAGGACCTGAATTGGGTGAAAAGGCAGTAGAGAAATGTTTTTAAATGCAATAAAAGTGAAACACACAAAGACCCAAGAACCGGTGGGTGCAGGAAACCAACAACACACCTTCGGGGACTCTGTTCATCATGGGGGAAGTCCTTGACATGCTTGGGTAGTTCACAGGCGTCCTCCTCGCGTTGTTGTCTTCATAGATCCCGGGGCTCACTTGCGACTTGGGAGCTTCGTGGAGAGTCGACCGGAGGACCGAGGGCCCGGAACTGACCACAGAAGTGTGGCGGGAACGGACTTCCCCGGCCTTGGAGTCCTCGTACTTTCCTCGCTCCACGATCTTCACGTTTTCGGACACCACCATCTCCAGCTGCGGCATGCCTCGGGGGAGCTTGCTCGGCCCGGTGATCAAGGACTTAACGTTGTGCTTGATGGTGGACTGGCCTGAGCTGCTTTCATATTTTATGGGTGTACCCTGAGAGGGGAAGAGGAAGGGCACCATGAGCGCAGGCCGCCGGTGCACCCGGGTCAGGGAAGGAAGGACCCTGCAGGCACCTCCCCGTACAACATCTGGCATGTGCACACTTTAGCAAGGGGAAGGTGGATTGGAAACTTGTTTTATTTAAGCATTTTAACCTCCCCTTTAATGCCTTTAAAATTTTAAATAGGTGGCATCTCACACCTGCACAGATTTCTCGATACCATAATAGCATGGGGAAAAACGTGTTGGAAGGGCTGTGGGTTATACGGAGATGATTTACATTGCTTTTGGAGTTGCCCTGTGGTTAAGAAATTCTGGCATCAGGTACTTCCACAAATAGAAGAAATCTCAGGTACGACAATCTCTCGACTGAAGTAATCCTTCTGGAAACAGGCCAACTGAGTCACTTAGATAAATCTAAACAAACCACGATAGCAACTCTATTGTCAATTGCTAAGATAGAAATAGCAAGGAAATGGAGAAAAGCAACAGGCCCCTCTTTAATGGACTGGTACAATGGTATATGGACTCATTTTGCTTTGGGGAGATTAGACCAGTCCTCGGGACTGCAAAACTTAGATGCTTATTATAAAAACTTTCAAGCGGTCCGGTTCCCAATCATACAGTTTCTTCAAGAAAAGGAAATTACGTCATCCAATCTTTTCTTTCATGAGCTACTTTATTTTTTAAAGAAGGTTTTTAGAAAATATAAGAGTAGTGTAGTTTCTTAGGTAGGTTTTGTTGTTGTTATTGTACTGGAATGGGATTTGTATCATCACACTGGCCTTATTTATCATATTGTTTTTGTTTGGTATTTTAATAAATTCTAAAAAACAAAACAAAAAAAACCCGAAGAAGAAGAAGAACAACAACAACAAAACCCTGACGGCATGTAACACACACACATCCCAAGATCAGAGAAGCCCCTTCTCAGTTCAGGTGGGTGGCTCCCTGAACAGGCTCTTCTCTGCAGCCCTGAATGCCCTCCTCACCTAAATCCTTGCCTGAGGAACCCACCCATCCGTCACACTTTGCAAGCCGTCCGAGACCATTCGTCACCCGTCACTCTTGTTTCCAACCCCTGCTGGGCTGGCTGACTGCCGTTTGCTCTGAAAAGCTGCTCTCTTGCCAACAGCCAGCAGCTTCGGAATCAGTTTGGTGGTAACCTACCTGAGAAATGGAACCCTCTATGATAGGCCGAGCACTCTGGACTATCTCCGGGGTCTTGCGGCTTTCCTGGCTTAGCAGGTCCTGCCGTGGGATTTCGTGGATGGAGCGCCCCATTTCTTTAATGGTGGTGACCCCGTCATACGGCTTCCCCTTGGTAATGGCACCTTCGAAGCTCCGTGTTGGTGGAGACTCCTTCTTAATCATCTTGGGATACTTGAGGCCTTCATCGTAGTTCTCAGCTGTAGCTCTTGGAGTACCTTTCGGGGGGAAATACAACAGCGTAAACCTTCAATTACACCTACTCAGCTCTAGCTAGCTAACTTGACAGGCTGGTGGATGGGTCTGAACACATACACGTTCAGCAGCTCCCACTTTAAACAAGCAATGGAAATGTTACAGATCGAAACACACACATAAATGGACCACAAAATGATATACACTGGATGTTGCTTGTTCAGCCTGCCCGGGTGATACTGTACATTTGTCAACCAACATTCCAAGTCACACAACCGAACAAGCCACAAAGATTTACTAGATCATAAAAGAGGAACTCCGCTAAGATTGCAAGAAACCCTTGATTGTTTTTTAAAAATGCACCAATTAACATGAAAATAGGGTACCTGCCAGGCAGCACAACTAGAATCTTAGATTTTATTTTTAATGTGCTTTTGTCCCAGCCTCTCAGTAAAGAGGCTGACTGTTCTACGAGTGTTTTAAGTGCCCATCTCAGACCAAGGGAATTTCAACACCCCCCCCCCCCAACAGGGCTCAATGGCAGGCAGTGTCACACAGGGCCTAAACAAGGCAAACTGAACAACTGACATGGCAATCCTACGAAGACTTACTGTAGTCTAAGTCCAATGTACTTAAATGGGATAACTCAATATAGGACTGCACAGATCACAGACTAAAGAGACACAGAAATCAACACCAGGGTCACTCCAGACTCTACATACTATCTCTGTATAGTTATAGGCAGGGGTCATTTCCAACGGGAGCGCACAGGAGTGGAGCTTCGACAGTAAGGAGCCCAGGGGGCGGGCACATGCAACAAGCCCCACCCCCTGCTCCCAGCAGTCCACAGTTGGGCCACGAGGAGCAGGAAGCAGCCAGGTAAGTTGCAGAGCCCCCCCCCCACTGCCTTCAGGTACAAGCTCTCCCTCCTCTGTGAGGGCCGATCTGCACACACACCCCCTCCAGTAGCTAGCAATCCAAAACAGTCCAGTGGAGCCTGAGTGGCGGTTGTTGCCTTCTGACACACTTCTGGTGATGTCAGGGGGTGTGGTATATGCAAATAAGTAATGCTAATAAGTTATGCTAATGAGCTCCTGCACCTCTTTTTCTACTAAATGACCCCTGGCCCTTGCCTGGTGGAACTCACTGCCAGAGAATATGTGCCCTACGGAACCTATTCCCTTTCCGTAGGGACTGCAAGGCAGAGCTGTTCCACCAGGCATTCGGTTGAGGACAGTGGCACTCATATACCCTCCTACTCACCCTTCCGCACTCCCTTTACCCAGGGAGCTGGTGGGAACAGAAATTTCTCATCATCTTACGATAATGTAATGTATTGCTTGATTAATATATTGCTTTTTAGTAGTTTTTAATGTTATTGAATGGATTATTATTGTGTTGGTTTTTATGTAAGCCACCCTGAGCCCTGCTTGTGTGTGGGGGGGGGCTAACAAGTTGAATTTAATAAATAATAAATAACATCATCTCAGATTTTATAGGAAGTGGCGGGGGATTAATATTTTAAGTAGATAACTGGAATGGAAGAACAAATTAAACGAATGTGTGACAATGGCAAAACTAACATCTTATATACATAATAGACCAATTTCAGAGTTCCAGGAAAAATGGAAAGTATTTTTCAAATATACAGCTGATAATCAGGAGTAAATTGCTAGAGCGGAAAATGACCAAGAGGTAGAGTCAGGCAGCCTATCTCTGTAAAATTGAATCCTAAAATATGAAGTTATGAGGGAAAGATAAGTTAAACAGAGGTGTAAAATTAAGATTATGTAAATAAGGTTTATGTAAGCAAGCAGGTTCTGATTGATAATTGTAATTAAATTAGATTATTGTAACATGTTGTTTATGCAGTATTGTAGATATGTATAATTTAGATATGGTAGATGAAGAAGTTGCAGAATAAATTATTGTTTATGTCTATGTAAGATGATTGCCCATGTTTTATGTATGACTGTAGCTGTGTTTGGTATTATTATGGAATATGTTATCATTTTTTGTGTTTATAAAATAAATATTAAAAGTATTTTAAACAAATATTAAATATTTACTAAAAAGATACTTAATTTCATGTTTTGGTATCAGTCTCTTTTTAGAGAGAGCTCAATTTAATTCGGGCTACTTGACCTCCAATATCAGATTAAGGGATTTACACAAGGGTAAGCAAGCTGGATCCTATTAATTCACTCTACTAATGGCAAAGCGTTCTGCTGGGGCAAGGGTGAAACACGTCTTCCACCAGAAGAAGACACACAGGAAGAGACTTCCACAAAGAGCCAATTCACAGGGTCTAACTCAATGCAAAAACCAAAATCCATTGGGGTAGTTTAGATCCATGGTAGTGCACTTTTTGTTCCTGTCCTTTCCGAAATCAGATGGAAAAAGAGAAAGACATAAATCCTGGGAGAATGGGTGGGAAGATAAGGTGAGAAAAACTGTCTTACTGAAAATTCAACAGTAAAAATCTCCACTCACCAGTGCCACAATGGAGGTAAATAATCCAGAAATGTATGATCCTGGGGGCTAAATGTATTTTCTTTTTAAAAATGTTTTGTTTGCATTTACTGAGATTATATATTAAACACATACTTTCTGAGCTCAACAGATGTGGTCATTTACACGTTACATACCCAGCCGAGTAGTAAAAACCTGTAAAGGGTGAAAAATACTCTTCTCTCTACCTTGCATTATGGATCCAGATAGCACAGTCCTCTCTTTCAGTTCCGAGTGAGGGCTTCCCCGAGGAAGAGCACGGCAGATCAATCCTAAAAAGATTTTAGAAGTTAGAAAATGACATGAACCACTTCCCACCCTTTCTGTGCTGGACTCTTTTCCATTGGTTTTGTCTGCTAAGGATCCCCCACACACAGCTGCCCTCAAGGTACAGAAGACGCAGAGGACCTGGAGCACATTTTAAGGTACGTGCTTCTTTTGCACGGGGCTCCGACCAGGCCAATTTTTTGCCCTTTGCAAATTTAGAGCACCCCTAGAACATGGCAACCCCCAGGGGCTGTTCCTTGAGCTGGCTGTCTCACATTTGGCCCCTATTACTGATAATCTCCCTATGAAACTGACAGAGTTTCCAAGGATCCCCAAAGCTCCCTGCAACGCTACTGGAAGTCCATGGCCTCAAATCGTCAACATCCACTTAAAATGTTATAATAGCATTCTTAATGCAAAGTGCCTCCAAGGGAAGTGGCTTTTGTGTGTGTGCTATCATTCTTTGGTTGCAGTGGACTAATTTCCCATTAAGGCAGGAATAAGCCTCACAGAGCTGAGTGGGAGTTGCTTCCAGCAAGGCTGTGGAGAGAGGAGGGGGCCAGGGGTACACAATGCCAAAGGCCTAAGTCATGGGGGGTGGGTGGCAGGGTGCCAGAGAATTATCACAGCAGTGTGCCTGCATCTTCTGTGCGGTCTCTTCTGAATATGTGGTGGGGGGCAGAGGGATTGGGGGGGGGGGTGATTCCTAAAGCAGCACCAGGTTGCAATGCATGTTTGGGCCACCAGACCAGAAGCCAGTTTGCAACACATCCTCCCGTACCATTTAAGGCTAACACAAAGCTATTTTTTCTCTTTTCTAATCAGTGTCCTGACCGATGCTCCCTCTAAGCCGTGGAGTCTTGTGAGCAAAAACTCTACAGTTTGGTGTAGTGGTTAAGTGCGCGGACTCTAATCTGGTAGAACCAGGTTTGACTCCCCACTCCTCCACTTGCACCTGGCAAGCCGTAGTTCTGACAAGAGCTGTTCTCTCAAGGACAGCTCTGGGAAGAGCTCTCTCAGCCCCACCTGCCTCACAGGGTGTCTGTTGTGGGGAGGGGAAGGGAAAGGAGTTTGTAAGCCGCTCTGAGACACTTTTGGGTAGTATAAATCCAATCTTTTCTTCTTCTTCTACTTTGTGAGCTACTGGCATTACAATTGTGAGCGAGTGATTTGGCTGCTGCATAAATTAGTTTGCTCTGGAGCCATGCTTCCTGAGCTGAGACCAAAATGTGTGAGTCAGGGACCAAAAAAGCTGTGAGCTAGCTCACACTAACTCAGCTTAGAGGGAACACTGGTCCTGACTATGGGACAATTTCTCCAGTGCTCAGACTGCAGGCTTTCTAACTTTGGAACAGCAGACACGTGCAGGGGGGAAACAAGAAGAGACCATTCTGTGTGACGTATCAGGAACTTATGTACCTGACACAGTCTTTTCACCCGCATCCTTCCTCCAAGGACCTGTGGCTCTCCCCTTCATTTTATCCTGTCAGGTTGTCCCAGTCTGGCACAAGTCATTACTCCAACCGATTACCAACCTAACAAACCTTGAAGGCTGAGGGCTTACTCAAGAGTTCACCACACTCATCGGGCGTCATGGAAAGGGAGGGATTAAATATAAATGAATATATCCTTCAAGGTCACAGTCCAGTTCGGATTCCTTCCTCACCCCAACCACAGTGGCGCGCTCAGAGGTACGAGGCAGCTGATTTACCTTCTAGCGGTGCAGAGACGGGAGATTCTCTCATGGACATCCCTTGCTTGATGTTTCCTTCCATGGAATCGTAAGATCTCTTAAGGCCCATTTCGTGAGCAGTCCTCGGACTCCGGGTTCCCTCACGGACGTTCTTAATGGCTGTTGAATTACGCAAACGTGTTGCTTAAAAACTGGCATAATAAGGAAACCAAATCTCCCCAGGATATCCTGCCATGCACAAGTGATCACACCCAAAATGTCAGCTGTGCTCTCAGATGCCCGAGCTTGCTTTGCTATCCACCCATATTTTTCTGCCAGGCATCTGCAGTGCCCGAGTTCCACACTTACCATCATAGGTTATGATGTGCCCACTCTTGCCTTCATAAATGACATGGCCTTTGGCTGCCGCTGCCTCCTCCCTGCATTTCTCGGGGCTGCTGTCCTCTGTAGCCAGTCGGGTAATGGTTCCTTTCAACAACACATCAGCTGCAATCCCGGACTGAGACAGAGCTGGGGTCCCCTGCAATGAAAACAACAGAACCTAGAAGTTCCAGGAGGGACACTAAGTGGCATCTCCGAGTCCAGAGACAGTCTACCTCTGAATAACCAATGCTGGGGACAGAACACAAGAGAAAAGGTACCTCCACTCCTGCTTGTGGGCTTCCTGGAAATATCTGGCTAACTGTGGGGACTAGATGGACCCCTAGAACAATCCAGCATGAGTCTTAGAAGGCAGATTACCATCTTGGAGTGGGTCATTAGGGAGGATTTTGAATGAGGGGATACAACTTTGGAGACTGAAAGGGGGAGGCATTTTAGGTATTCAGAGCAGCCAAGGAAAAGGAAGTGAGTTGGGAAGCGGAGTGAATGCCTATACACTTGTGTACAGAGAGAAAACTTAAAATGCATGATCATACGATGGGCTTTGGCTGTGCCGTGCCATTTCAGACTGCAGGTAGAGGAACTCCACATCTGAATGCTCCCCCAAGACAAAGAATTCCTGGCATGCAGAAAACTAGCCTGGCTGAAGAAATGGACATGCCAGATTCTTTCTCCATGACATGCTTTATTTTTATATCCAAGAAATTCTGCGGGGAACCGCCGAAAGTACCGTGGAGGAGATACTGTGACAAGTGCAAACACATTATCACTACTATTCATTTAATTCCAAGATTTCTATCCTGCCCTTCTGCCCCATCAGGGCCCTATGGAGCGGGAGCAGAAAATGATACAGACAGCAAGAGGGAACCGGTGAGGAGAGGCAACCACTCCAAGGACAGGGGAGGAAGCCTCGTCTTTCTGTGGCAACATCGAGAAGAAGAAGAGGAGGAGGAGGAGGAGATTGGATTTATACCCCGCCCTTCACTACCCAAAGGAGTCTCGGAGCGGCTTACAAACTCCTTTCCCTTCCCCTCCCCACAACAGACACCCCGTGAGGTAGGTGGGGCTGAGAGAGCTCTTTCAAGAACTGCCCTTTTGAGGACAGCTCTTATCAGAACTATGGCTTGCCCAAGGTCATCCAGCAGGTGCAAGGGGAGGAATGGGGAATCAAACCTGGTTCTCCAGATTAGAGTCCGCGCACTTAACCACTACACCAAACTGGCTGGGCTAGGCCATTTCCCAAACCTTCCTTTGGGAAGGTTGTCCTCTAGCATCACATCACAGGATGAAGCACGTACCTGAGTGATGGAGCCTCGCAGGGAAGGCATCGTTTCAACGGAAACTTTGCTGGCTGGAGTCCCCCGTGTTATGCTTCCGTCTTGGATGGTGGTCGTGGTACCTGATGGAAGGTGCAAATGGACTGCCAGTCATGCGAATGCAGCAACACCCACCCTCCTCCTCCAAGTAGACTTATGACAATTTGTAAATAAACTGGGTTCTCAATGCAAATCCTTCCTTTTAGAAGATAAAGGTAACAGGCTTAGCAGCAACGGATCCATTTACCCCCCCCCCCCCCCCCCCCCCCGCGATATCCGGCCCGTGTGCCGAGGATGCCTATCTTACCAAGCAGCTCAAGTACTGTGCATGGCTCTCTCTCCTCTCCACTTTAGCCTCACAACAAACCTGTGACGGTAGAAAAGAGCAAGAGTCCAGCAGCACCTTAAAGACTAAAAAAAAAATATTGTGGCAGGGCGTGAGCTTTTGTGAGTCACTGCCCACTTCTCCAGATACCCTGCCACAAATTTTGTTAGTCTTTAAGGTGCTACTGGACTCTTGCTCTGTTCTCCTGCTACGGACAGACTAACACGGCTACCCATCTTGAACAAACCTGTGAGGCAGGTTTAGGTTGAGAACACAGAACGGGCCTGAGGTCACCCAATAAGCTTCATGGTGGAGAAGGAAATCTGAACCCAGGTCTCCCAGCCCAACACTCAAATCACAACACCATCCTGGCTTGATGTTTTGTGTAGAATGCATACATATACAACACTGACAATACCAATGATTGGGGTGTTTTTGTTAAGGTGCCCCATGGATAGCTCTGTACCCCCCTCAGCAGATTTCTGGACTTGCATCATTCAGACACATCTATGGTCCTGCTCTCCCAGTCACGCCATACAATAAACTGTTTTTGAAACTGAGAAGACATTTAAATGCAGTCTGTGATGTGTCACTACTAGGGAGATGGCGGGGAGAAAGCGTCTGCTGTTCAAAAGGAGGGGGAAAGTATTAAAAAACAGCAAAACACAAAAGAGTGAATGGACAGATCAAATGAAAGAACTGTTCAAACTGACTAGATGAACAGCTTTTTCCAACTGTCAAAATGTGCCTGTGTATAGCGTACAATAATACTGATGTGTAATAGTAGCATTTGGTAGTAGTTAAGAACACAAGAACCTAAGAAGAGCCCCTGCTGGTTTAGACCAATGGTCTATCTAGTCCAGCATCCTGTCTCATACAGTGGCCAACGAGTTCCTCTGGAGGGCCAACAAAAGGGCAGAGAGGCCAAGGCCTTCATAAGAACATAAGACGAGCCCTGCTGGGTCAGACCAATGGTCCATCTAGTCCAGCATCTTGTCTCACACAGCGACCAACCGATTCCTCTGGACGGCCAACAACGGGGCAGAGAGGCTGAAGCCTTCATAAGAACATAAGAAGAGCCCTGCTGGATCAGACCAATGGTCCATCTAGTCCAGCATCTTGTCTCACACAGCGACCAACCGATTCCTCTGGACGGCCAACAACAGGGCAGAGAGGCTGAAGCCTTCATAAGAACATAAGAAGAGCCCTGCTGGATCAGACCAGTGGCCCATCTAGTCCTGCATCCTGTCTCCACCAGCTTTTCTGGAGGGCCAACAACAGGGAATAGAGGCCAGGGCCTTCATAAGAACGTAAGAAGAGAGCCCTGCTAGATCAGACCAGTGGTCCGCCTAGTCTAGCATCCTGTCCCACACAGTGGCCAACCAGTTCCTCTGGAGGGCCAACAACAGGGCCCAAGCCCTTTCCCTGATGTTGCCTCCTGGCACTGGATATGCCTCTTGACTGTGGAGGTCCCTTTAGCCGCCATGGCCAGTAGCCACTGACAGACCTCTCCTCCATTATGAATGGCTGTATAACATGTTGTTATATTTACTGTTTTGTGTACAGCTGGTAACAGCTTTGATAAAAACTAACATTTGCACTTGGCACACTAGAGCCTCTGGCTCTGCTTCAGTATTTCTCCAGAATTACCTTTCAGACCCCCAAATGGCAATGCAGTATGTTTTTTATTAGGCACAAACTATCACAAAATGGCAAGCAAGCTCCTGAGTTTCCCAGAACTAGATATTCAGCACAAAAACAAAAGGGGTGGGGGATATTTCAGGGCACGGCACGAAGCCCTTAGTCTGCAGAGCCGTAAAAGGAATGCAGGATGCGATGCAGACTTGATGGGATTAACAGGGTGCACCATGGGCTGTTGGGACGGAGAGGCAGACTCCCTTTGAGAATCCAAAAGCCAGTCGTTAACCAGACATTGACCCAACACTAAAGGAGACATACAGGTCCCATAAGGCTGAGAGCTGCAGAAGAATGTGGTAGTCTTGATGTTAAGAATGCTGTAACAAATTGCAAGGATTAACCAAAGAATGGGAAAGCCAAATGCCATTTTCTGTCTCACTTCAGGTCCTGGAGTTACAAAAAAACTCCCATACTTTTGAGACCAAACCCTGTCATCCATCTCAGCCACACTTGCCATATGCAGGCAACTTCCCACTCCCACTCAGTCCCCACCAGCTGTGCTCCGCCTATTGAGCAGAGGGAGGAAAATGAAGCAAAGGGGTCAAACAGTGACATCACTTCCACCATGGCGGCCATGATGCTCTAGGAATTTCTCCAATCACTATGGTCCTTACTATAGAAACTGGGGGAATTCCTAGAGTCCTGCGGACACTGTAAGGTCACTCTCGCATGATAAAAGGGAAGTGACATCAAGGTGTTTGTGACACCCCCACTCCCCAGGCTCCACCCCCAAAAGCTCCTGGAGGTCACAGCTGCAGGGCTGGCCACACTGATCTCAATGTGGCCTCTTTTTCCAGAGACTTCCTGTGCTCCCCTTTGAAGGGGACAGCCACTCGGGGAAGCTGAAAATAACAGAGCCTGCCCAGCTCATCTTTCCAAGCCCGCAGGAAGACATGTGGTGGGTGTCAACACCCTCCTCATGACGCAGATGCCTCAACTAGTTATCTATTTGTCTTAAAAATAATGACAAAGCAGGAAAGCGCAACATTCACTTCACTTGTGAGCCTCTTGGCACTTTAACCAATGATGGCATTTCAGTTCAGAAGACTTTAGGCAGCCTGAGGGTTCAGAAACATGCACACAGTATCTCCCACCATCCCGAGGAGGTCCCATGGCAGCCTTTGCGGCAAAGATAATGCAATTTCTCCGTTTCTGAACACATCAGCCTCCTTTCAAGTGTTTGCTTAACAAATTGATTTGGGGTTACTGACCTCGAACCACACCTTCATGTTGGGCCCTGACTAACAGGCCCTCGGGTTGAGAGTTCTGGCTCCTGGGAGAGAATTCCTCTTGCTTGATGTACGGCATGGAAGCTTGAAAGGAGAAAATGAGACAAGTTGGGGGTGGGTTGGGTCCAATGCTCCCCCTAAGCTGCGGGGTCTTGTGAGCAAAAATTCTACTTTGTGAGCTACTGGCCTTAAGGCTGTGAGTGAGCGATTTGGCTGCTGCATAAACTAGTTTGCTGTGGAGCCATCCTTCCGGAGCTGATACAAAAATGAGTGAGCCGGAGGCTAAAAAACTGTGAGCCAGCTCATACTAACTCAGCTTAGAGGGAACACTGGTTGGGTCCCTATCACGGTGACTCACAGATAACATCTACGCCTTGCACGGATGCCAACGTGCATCATTTCCTGTGGGAGCACACAGGAGTGGAGCTCCGGCCGTAAGGAGCCCAAGGGGCGGGCACATGCAACAAGCCCCGCCCCCTGCTCCCAGCAGCCCTCAGTTGGGCCACGAGGAGCAAGAAGCAGCCAGGTAAGTTGCAGAGCCCCCCCCCCTCCAGCCCGCCTTCAGGTACAAGTTCTCCCTCCTGTGTGAGGGCAGATCTGCACATGTCCCCCCCCCCCATAGCTAGCAATCCAAAACAGTCCAGTGGCACCTTTAAGACCAAGTTTTACTCAGGTACAAGCTCTCCCTCCTCTGTGAGGACAGATCTTCGCGTCCCCCCCCCCCGATAGCTAGCAATCCAAAACAGTCCAGTGGAGCCTGAGCAGTGGGTGTTGCCTTCTGACACACTTCCAGTGACGTCAGGGGGTGTGACTTATGCAAATAAGTTATGCCAATAAGCTCCTGCACCTCTTTTTCTACGAAATAACCCCTGCCAACGACTGTAGTCCATTTGCTGGCAGCTGCGCAGAGCTGGTTTTTTAAAAGGGGGAAAGTGCTGTGGCTCGGGCTCCAGGGGCTGAAATCAGAAGAAGCCGGCATCCAACGTGCGCCCTCAAAATTGTCAAAAATAATAAATAAAAGTTTATGCTAAAGCTTAACGTACACATGGCTGCATTTATGCAACTCTGTCCTGACCAATGTTCCCTCTAAGCTGCAGAGTCTTGTGAGCAGAAATTCTACTTTGTGAGCTACTGGCATTAAAGTTGTGAGTGAGCAATTTGGCTACTGCATGAATTAGTTTGCTCTGGAGCCCTCCTTCATGAGCGAAGACCAAAATGTGTGAGCTGGAAGCTAAGAAACTGTGAGCTGGCTCACACTAACTCAGCTTAGATTAGAGGGAACACTGGTCCCGACCCTTTATCCATGCCTCTGCCTCTTCCACACATGGGGCTGGCAACCTCTGGGTACAGAACAGAGACCTCCTGGAATGACAGCTGGTCTCCAGTCCACAGAGAGAAGTTCTGCTTTGGAGGATGGACTCTATGCGGCCTTTCTGACCACGACTGCCGGAGTACGGAGGCAAAAGCAGTGTGGAGATGGAGGCTCGGCTGTCTGCACATGCTCTTCTCCGTGCTCTTACCTGCTTTGGCGGACTCCTGTGGCCGCGGCAAGCCTAGAGAGATGGAACCCACAGATGGCTTCGGTGGGTCTTGGCTGTAAGACGACTGACTGTGGGATGTTAAGTAAGTTCCGGGTGTCCCCTAGAAGGAAAGAGAATGCACAACATTAGTGCCACGCGGCTTAGAGTTGTATTATCACATGAAATCAGATCACAACACCAGGGGTACAGGCTCAAAAAGATAGAGGGGGTGCAGTATGATATGAATACAAACGGAACAGAGCGACTGCAAACTGTGCATATTTCAAACTTGTATTAAATGCAATAACAATATATCAAACTATGTTTTACAGAAAACTGAAGCCAATGTTTATAAATGATGATGGATGGATGACGAACTCCCCCGGAGTTGATATTCGTTTCGAGGCGTCTTTTTCAAACAAGTGTGTCTCCACAAGGTCACAAGTCTTCCAAATTGGATTTCTCCTTAATTCCTGTACATTTTGGTGTTATTCATAAGATGTTCTCAATCACAATATCAAATGCGGGCTGGAATTAAGGAGGGGTACAGGCTCAGCATTCCAATGGCCGGATCCTAGCTCTGGGGCAGCCCTCGCTGAGTCTACTGTGCAGCTTGACAAGCCATCATTTGGGCAAAGGAAGAGTCCCTTCCCCAGGAGGACAGATCATTGTAATCTCTTCAGAACTGTCACACCATCCTGTTGTTGTTCAGTCGCACAGTCGAGTCCGACTCTTCACGACCACATGGACCACATCACGCCAGGCCCTCCTGTCTTCCGCCGTCCTCCGGAGTTTGCTTAATTTCATGTTTGTTTGCATCGATAACACTGTCTAACCATCTCATAAGAACATAAGAGATGCCAATGTTGGATCAGGCCAAAGGCCCATCCAGTCCAACACTCTGTATCACACAGTGGCCAGAAATACCAGTGCCATCAGGAGGTCCACCAGTGGGGCCAGGACATTAGAAGCCATCCCACTGTTGACCCCCCCAAGCACCAAGATGACAGAGCATCACTTGCCCCAGAGTCCCTATCTATACCTTGTGGCTAATAGCCACTGATGGACCTCTGCTCCATATGCTTATCTAATTCCCTTTTGAAGCCGTCCATGCTTGTAGCCACCACCACTTCCTGTTCATGGAGTGCCCACGGGTTCTTGTATTGTGAGAAAGGGAGAAAAGTACCTCTTTCTTTACCTGCTCTTTCCCATGCATAATCTTATAAACCTCAATCATGTCACCCCTCAGTCGTCGTTTCTCCAAGCTAAAGAGCCCTAAGCGCTTTAACCTTTCCTCATAGGGAAAGTGTTCCAACCCTTTTATCATTCGAGTTGCCCTTTTCTGCACTTTTTCCAAAGCTATAATATCTTTTTTAAGGTGTGGTGACCAGAATTGCACACAGTATTCCAAATGAGGTCGCACCATTGATTTATATAGGGGCATTATGATATTGGCTGATCTGTTTTTATGAGATTGGCTGATCTCATCCTTTGCCGTTCCCTTCTTCTTTTTCCTTTAGTCTTTCCCAGCATCAGGGTCTTCTCCAGTGAGTGCTCCCTTCTCATTTGGTGGCCTAGAGATGGTTATATTTCAGAAGGCTATTCGATAATTTGATTGGTGGGTGAGCAATGGCTTTCTTGTGCTGATTTGATCCACAGATTTATGGATTAGATTCAGTCATTTCACTGTCAGCATCCGCACACTCCGTTTGTGCAAAGCACTTTCTGCTGACACAAAACACCCAGTGCCAGAGGTAGGCACCTTGCACAAGACCACTGTGACACAACAAAATGGTAGGATCCAGACCAATGTTATTTTATTTTATTGTTTTGATTTACCAGTTTGGGGGCGCTTCAGGGGATCAGAAAACCAGCATGAAAACCTACTGAACATACAACATGAATAGAAGAGACCGGAAGAGCCTCAAAAGACCTCGCTTATGTTTCACACGTCCTCTCCCAGCCTTCTAGTCTGAAATAAGAAATTTTAAAAGCTGCCTGTTGACACAGTGTTACCGACTTCCCCCTTACTTGTGAGATGGAGCCTCCCATAATGAAAGATGGTTTCTCTGATGGCATCACTGTTTTGGAAGATGGAATCAGCGGGGGCGGCGGTCTGGTGGGCCGTGTCGTTGGGGGACGGACCCCTTCAGGTAGGCTGGTTATTACCTGATGCGGAGCTGGTTGGAGAACTGGGGTGGGGGTGGAGGGAGAGAAACAAGATGCTTTAGTCAACGTGCAGAATACTTCTAGACACTCTGATTTTTAAAATATAGCAAGTATTTAAAAGCTGCATATTAAAAGCAGCAATGATCATGAAAACACATGTTCACACAAAGAACATTCTAGCAGACATCAGACATCAAATTACAAACAAGGCTCTGCTTATTCTGCAGACACAGGTTTTCCCACTAAACTGGTACCTGCTCACTTTCACAAAACCTTGGGAGAGCCTCTGCTTTAAAATTTTCAAATTCCTATCCCTCTTGGGCAAAAGAAAATCCTGTCAATTCACTGCTTTCAAAAGGTGTTTATACAGACTGCCTGAAATCCTTCAAAACTACTTGAAGGGGAATGATACCAAAACATATGAAAACATACTGGCAGCCACATCCTAGGAACGTTTACTCAAAATTTAAGTCCAACGAATTGGCTGGGACTTGCTTCCAAGTCGATGTGCACAGCCCTGTAGCTTTAATTTCACCAAGGAGCATATGCTTTGGGAGTTCCAGACTGGGAATCTGATGATGCCACGCTGTATGAGTACTTATGGCTTGAGAAAACAAATATCTAAACTGAGCAGCAAGTGAAGCAACCATATTCTGTGGGAAGCAAAATACCTGGTGGAACGCTGTAGCGAGCTGCATTCATATCGGGCTGTGGAGAGGCTTTGCTGACCTCCCTTGGAGACAGGCGATAGGGGGAGGCGGATCTTACCACCGCGTTCTGCATCTGCGCTTCTTGTTCCATGGCACGCTTCACTTCAGCGTAAGGCATGTAGGCAACCGGTTTCCCTGTGGAAGCAGAAGGTGCCAGAATGAGAGGCAGCCGTGGACATAAACAGAGAGAACGTAGCAAAATTGTTCTACCTCGCGCTCGAAAAAATATAGCCACCTGCCACTTGGAGGCTGTTTCTTGAAGTCAAGTGGCAGGAGAATCTACCAAATAAAACAAAAAAAGGTTTTTTACACAATGCTTTACTAGGTGGTGGAGACTTGCTACCACTGGATATTGTGATCAACGTCAGTAGTTCAGATGATTTTAAATAAATGATTAGCCAGATGCAGGGAAGACAGGTCTAACCACAGCTATCAGCCACAACAGCTGAGTCGAGACTCCATATTCAGAGGCAGTCCACGACTGAGTATAGGATCCTCACCACCATCATGCTAAGCTGGCCAGCTTCCCCGGGACACTCCATTGCTTGAAAGAGTGCAGGAAAAGAATCATCTTTGGTCTGATCCACTAGGCGCATTCTTACATTCTTAAAGATTATTTTAACGTGTATCACTGTATCTAACTGGCTGCCCCTGTGTAAATGACGAAAGATGTAGTGTGGATTCACCCACAGAAGATACTAGGGTCTTGACGTATTTGGAAAATCCCCCAGGACGCAGAAAAAGTATAACTTTGTAAATTAACCAAAAGGGGAAAAAATGGCCAGATGAAGGCTGAAAAGGCTGCAGAATGGATGGAACACTGAAGGCAGCCAGGTGGAAGGGGAAGAAAAACCAGCCGGCTTTCTCAAGCTCCAGAGAGCTCTGCTCCCCTCTCTTGCTTGCAGCCCCCTGCCCTTCGTTGTACACATATATGAACACGCACAATCTGCCAACTGGAGGGTGGAGCGGAGCTGATTTCTGTTGTTCCAGAAGGTCAGATGAGAACCAACGGATTGAAATTAAATCAAGAGTTTTTGCCTAAACGTTAGGAAGGACTTCCTGACAGTCAGAATAGTTCTCAGTGGAACGGGCTTCCTTGGGAGGTGGTGGACTCTCTTTTTTTGGAGGTTTTTAAGCAGAGCCTAGATGGCCTTCTGAAAGCAATGCCAATTCTGTGAACTTAGGCAGATTATGAAAGGGAGGACAGGAAGAGATGGAGCCAGTGCTTGGTTCTTGTGGCTCTTTCTTTTGTACTCAGGGTAAAGCTGATCACCACTTTGGGATCAGGAAGGAATTTTCGTCCAGGCCAGACTGGCCCGGGGATCCTGGAGGGTTGTTTTTTTTTTGGGGGGGGTGGCCTTCCTCTGGGCATGAAGCAGGGATCACTGGGGGGGGAAAGTAGTTGTGAATGTCCTGCATTGTGCAGAGGGTTGGACTGGATGACCCTGGAGGTCCTGTCCAGCTCTATGGGTCTGTGCTTCGAAATGACATAAAATCAGAGCCAGCATGGCGTAGTGGCTATCGTGCAGGACTAAGGTCTGGGAGACCGAAAGGACAAATCCCTCCTCTGCCATGGAAGCCCGCTGGCTGACCCTGGGCCGGTCACACCAGCTCTGCCCATCCTACCTCACAGGGTTATTGTGAGGACAAAATGGAGGAGTGGAGACTGCTATAAGCCACGCCGGGTCCCCACTACGGTATAAACACAATAAATAAACCAATGGGTCTTTTAACTGGCTGATCCGTTTAAATAAAGTCTTTGTGTTATCAAAAGCTCAAGACAGGCAGATACGCTGGGCAGCATGCAAAGAACAAGGAAAACAAAGACCCTGCCAAAGCAGTCTACAGTAGTCATCAGCAGAGACAGAGAGCAGCAGCGGCCTCCCCCTGATTGGCTTTCAGGATACCACAGACCTGCCATTCTTTGACTCTGATTCGGATTTAGGAGCTGTGGCCCCTAAAACTTTTAAAGTAAATCTCCCCTGGCAAAAGAAGAAGAAAACCAAAGCTGAGAAGAAATCTGAGTGAAGATCTGAGATTACCTATGTTGACATTTAACTTACTTATATTCTCAATCAGATGCGATGTAATATCAAAAATGTCTTTATGTTCTTTCTATTTGGACACTTTTATTAGATTTTAAAGAATTGAATGTAATTTTTAGCATGTAGAGATATACTCAAAGCATTTGATTAGCCTATCAAAGGCTCTTGTTACGCTCTTTGTACTTTTAATTTTGTAGGGTATAGTTTTTGTAGTGTGTAGGAAGAAAAACAATAAAAAGTGTGTGTGTATATGTATATATATAAAAAAGACCTGCCATCCTGGGAGGAAGTGGCTAAAGTCACCAGGACTAATATGGGGAATGGGGGTACGGAGAGAGGCGCTGTGCGTTTTAGGCGGCTTCTTCCCAGCTTAGTTTTCATGGCATTTGATTGCGCTGACACCTCAGGCCTCTGGTCTGTTTCAGCTTGCTTGTTTCACTGTAAGCTGCTCTGAGCAACAAGGGAAGATGGTACAGAAATCTGACGGTAATAGAATGCAAAGAGGGAATGCCTGATGCACGGAGATACTTTTGAAACTCTTTACGCATCTTTCTGCCAGCACTGCAAACTTCCCCCACATTCCTTCACAACAAACCACCAATGTCCATGCGGAAGTCGAAGGAGAGGCACGCTGGCAGTGCGGCATCCGGGGTGACCCCAAGGCCCTTCTGCCCACTCTCAAGCTTCACTCCCGTTTTGCCTCTCCGCTGTCACTGTTACCAGACCCAGAACAGGGTGGAGGAGAGTATGCATCACTCTATGTGCTTATAAAGCATTTTTAAAGGGAAGCAAAGTAAGTCACGAGAAAGAAGGCTTCGAGTGCTCCCACACTGATCCTGCAGATTTGTACTACCTGCTCTCCTCTGTCCAAACTTCCTCCTGTTTATCTTTTTTTACAGAACTGCAAGGACCTCACCTCCAGGCCAGGAGAGCCACTGGGGGCAAGCGTGAGTGTGGGGGAGAAGAAGGAATTGAATCATCCCCCTTTTATGAACTCTCCGGGACTGGAGCCAGCTACTTTCACTGCCCCTTCTTTTTCTCCCCTTGAACGTGCTGTCAACATTCTGTGCCTTTTGGAACACATTCAGGTCTCATCATGCCTTCTCTGGGGAGGAGATTCTTTTTCTCCTTTAGATTACATTTACAACGCTATTCTACATGCCTGGGGAATCTAGCCGGCAAGCCAAAACCCACTGCTTCGTGTGTATGCATCTCGGTTTTGCCGCCAAGCCACCCTCCCTTGACAACTGGATGTAGCAAACCTTCATCCTACCCAGGCAGGGAGTTTTTACAGATTCTGCACCACGACATCTGACGAAGGGAGCAGTAACTCCTGAAAGCTCCTACTCTAGAATTCTTATTGGTCTCTAAGGGGCTACTGAACCTGAGTCTATCTGATCTACTGCAGACCAACATGGCTGCCCTCTGAAACTGTACCATGGCTCCGGTCACATGGGCAGGAAACTGCGGGGGGGAAGCGTGGCTGTTTGCCCTGGGGCAAACTAATGCGCGGTTAAGCAATCAGACCTCCTGTGGAGGTACCGTGGAGGTTCCGTGGGTAGGGAGAGGTGCCGATCACAGGACGCGCCTGCGTGCAATGAAGAAGCGCGTGGTGCGGCAAACTGGTTTTCTTTTTTTGTGTACACGACAAATGTGCATGCTCCGTTGGGTGCGTGTGCGCATCCATGGAGACTTGGGGAGAAAAAAACCCTTTTTCGCAAGGGGACATGGGCCGGATGCCACCGGAAACGCGATCGGACGCCCGCCTTTGCCCCACGGTTTCTGGAAACTAGTACCTCCGAGGTACTAGTTTTTTGCTGCGCGTTTTCGGCAGGAAGCCTCGGTTGTGCCACGGAAGCGCTACGCTTCCCAGATGTGCCGGTGATATCGCGCCCGGAATATCCGCCTGTCTTCCGTCTCTCTTGCGTGGCTAATGTTCCGTGTGACCGCAGCCCATGATAACTTTTCAACAATTTCCGTTTTCTGTGCCTCTTGCCTCCTCGGTGAGCTGAAGGAAACAACTTCCCCAAGATATTTTCAGGGACTAACGGAGTACAGATCGGTTCACCTACCATCCCACTCGACATTGGGACTCTTGGATGGGCCACAGGGACTAGCAGACCTCCGGCAATCCACCTCCATTTGCTCTTGCCTCTGGCGTTGCTGATCCTCCAGCATGGTGGACTTGTGCATGGCCTTAATGTGCTGGTGCAAGAGTGTGTAGCCGCTCATCGGGATCCCCTGCGGTAGCCCTTGCAATGTAGAAGAGACCTGCAGAAGAGGAACACCACAGGCCTGAAGGACAACCACATGGCTACACCACTAATTCAACTCCCGCTGCCAACCTTTAACAGCAGCTGTAGCAACCCGAGCTGCAATGATAGAGGAGTCACACAATAAATATATACACTGCAAAAATCTATTTTTATAAATTAATGTGTTCTATTTGTTCCATCTTATAAAGTGCATTGTGTGCTGTTTATAATAGCCTAAAACAGGTAATATATTCCGTACATGCAATATCAACAATAATAATCAATTCATTCAGTATAATAATTACCAGTCAATTTACATCCTTTTCCCCACCAAAGTCAAACCCCAACGGGAGTTTCTAGAATTATATGCCCGCTTCTCCTTGCTTGAAACTCTTCTAAAGGGGGAAAGCTTTCTTTTGTGGTTACATTGATGTTTGTTGCTGGTCCTATGAGAGGCACATTAAGCAGCTGAAGTACATAGATGGAGCGCTCCTGTCTTTCTCAGTAAGGCAATACACCAAAGTCTGGGCCACTGCACTGGCTGCAGGAACAAAAAGGGTGTTCTAGCGAAGCCTTTTTCTTGACATGCTATTTTTCCCTACGTGAAGGAAAACTTTGTCCCATGTGGCATTTTATTGTGGAAGCCAATGTCTGAAGCACAGCTGGTATATAGCTCCCCCAACTTGGTGAGAATTTTTAAGCCTAGGTACAAGCAGTTTTTCTTTTCTTTTTTTTTTAAAACAGAACTGCAAGGACAAAACAACCCAGCCAGCCCAGCATCCT